AATAATTACAAGTTAAAGTACTCATTTGTGGTTAAAACTAAGAAAATATTGAAGAATTTATTTCATTTGCTACTAAATAATAATATTAATATAATAAATAAATAAATATTTATAAATCAGCGAAAAAAACATGAAAAAGGTAAAATATTCTTTTTAAGAACAATTACATAAAAAATTACACAATCTTTCTTAAACACAAACAAAAAATTTCATTCAAACTTTAATAGTCAATATATATACTGAGGACATATCCATCACTACTGAACCGACTTTCCTGAATGTTTATTAATAGAGATTGTTCTATCTGACGTATCCGTATAAGTATATAAGTATATCGAGGTGAGAGAGGCATATCGATCCCGATGTCTAAACTATTTACTATAATTTCCATCGTTATTTGTTTGGTTTTAAAGCAGCCCCATTCATTAAAGAATAGCATATGGTATTTTTTCTAATAAAAAATGTATTAAGCTGCTGTAAAAGTTTGTTATTTTGCTGGAAAATTAAAAAAAAAAAAAAGATAATGAAATTCAATAAATTTTGCTTAAAAACATTTATCGGGATCCCCGGCCTCTCTCCCTCTTAACATCAGGACATTTTATTGATTGATTCTGTAATTTACATTAGATGACATAAACTTTAACCCCCTCACTCACACACTAAATGCAAAAGACGTTGATATCCACACAATCAATAAAACCGTGTAGCAGTTTTCTAAAGAGAATTTGCTTCCAGACCCTTACCAGTATATGCTTAAAAATGCCAGTCCCCCCCCCCCCCCCCGGAACACACACAAACTTTCATAGCGTCTGTTGACTTTCTTCATTTTTTTTTTCAATGAACTATTTGACAAATACCTGTATGTCTCCCCTTCCCCTCCCCAGTTGAAATTGCTACTTTCGGGCCTATTCTCACACGGCTTGATTTTGTTTTATATTTTGTCCTTTCAGCAGTAATAACTTGAAAAGACTTCATGGCGACAAAAATAGGTAATGAAATGAAAATTCAGTTGTTAAATTTGATCTTTCTTTTTAGTTCTCTTGTTGTCGTACATGTGTATTATAATTCATGGTTTGATATAGAACTGTTTCAAAATAGGGTATTCATTATCTTAACTCTCTTTTTATAAAAAAGAAAAGAACATTAGACTAAAAAATGCCAAAACAAAAGATTTATCTATTTCTTCTATGCTACCTTGTCCATCCAGTTGATTTTTATTTATTTATATATTTTTATTTTTATTTATTTATGCATTTTGGCCCAGATTGGGACAAGTGTGAGTCAATTCAACACGCAGTTCATAGAATTGAATAGAAGAGGCTGCTTCAACGTAGCAGAGAAATAAAAAAAAAACACAGAATAAAGGATAAATTTATACAAAACATATATAGATAAAATATCAGCATTTTTTCAGAGTTTTGATCCCGCTTGTACACAAAGAATTACAGTCATCTTAATTTCAATAAATAAATCATTTAAGTAAACTTTAGTAAACATGTATATAAAGTAATGTATAAGACATAAAAAAATTTCTCCGTTTATCTCCTTTTATCGACAATTGTTAATTCATCCTCGACAAAAACTGCGTGTAATTGCAACACTTTCGGAAATCGTAGTCCTTTCTCAAGCTCTCTGGAATTTCGGATACGGTTATCACCTAACAATTTAGGGAATTTAGAGTCTTCAAACCACCCCAGAATTGCCAGTTTTCCAAAGCTTCTCTGGAGAACTATGTCCATCAAATATAATCAAATGATATACAGAATGTTGATAATGACAAAAAAGAAAATGAGGATGGAAATTTTCAGTGACCCCCCCCCCCCCACCCACACACACACAGAGTATTCAGTATGGTCACGTTTTTATTGTCAAAGTTTTGATAAGGTGACTTGTCATTTTTTAGTTTAGTTTAGTTTCTCCCTGCCTCGGCCCAGCTTCCCCCTTCTTCACTTTGTTAATCAATTTTAAGTGTCTGCTTGATGTAGACAAAGTCCCTTTTTGAACCTTTTTTTTTTTTAATTTTTTAACAATTTAATAAAAATATACATATTTTTTTGTACTAATTTTATTTTTTTAAAAATCCTTCCATAAAATAATAGGTGAGAACAGCAACTTGATACGTTTCATTAGAAATATTACTATATATCTTATTTTCCAATGAATGAGGTTAAAATCAAACAAGAAACGATGGAAATGTTACCCAACGGTTAAATCATCGGGATCGAGATGCCTCTCATACTTCGATACGGATACGGATACGTATACGGATACGTCAGATAGAACAATCTCTAATACTAACAAATGATGATAAGAAAGAGTTACAATGTCTTTCATGCAAAAATTATGTTTAAGAATCCTCTTTCAAGCTCACAATAAACCATATCATTACAAGTACTTTTTCTTACCTTTAAAATTCTCTTACAGTTTGACACGTACTTTTTAGCTCACATCAACGAAATTGGGGGGAGCTTATGTAGTACCCTCGACGTCGGCGTCCCAGGTTAAAGTTTTTGGAGCAGATTTCATTTCAGGTACTTCTGTGCCCTATATTAATCAGAGATGCATGGAAAATGCTTCTAGTATGTTTCACTGTACCACTCAGAGTTTCAGAAAGAAATTCTTAGAGAATTTTGAACAAGAGAACCACTTTTTCCCAAATTGGACCCCTTTAATTTATTTTTTATAAGTAAAGTTTTAAATCATTGAATAGTCCTACTGTCACTGTAATTGTCTTTTTTATAAACTGCTTTTATTTTTTCTTGTCCAAAAATTTCATGTTATAGTATATTTTGTTTTCTTTGATTTATTTCCCTCCAGATTTTATGACGCGTCCCCAGCTCGCTCCATCAGAGCGTTTCATGTTTTTGTTTAGTTACCGTGATAGATAACTAGGTAACAAATTTATTACGGAGATGGTCGTTAGTTAAAGATGTCACTCACTATACACAATAATAGCACTCTCTTGTAAGCACTTACGAAGACAAGGCAAAAATGTACACAGCTCTCTCTCTCTTTTTATATAAAGTTATATGTACTATAGAGTGTATTTTTATAAACCAGTTATTTCCTAAATAGATTAAACTTCAAACTTTATTGTAGATGAAAGACTTTAGAAAAAATGTAAACTTCAAAACTTCATCAATCACAGAGCAAGAAGGTATCTCTCTCTCTCTCTCTCTCTCTCTCTCTCTCTCTCTCTGAGGGGGATATTCAGGTATTTACACGATGCATTTGCACCAATTAATTGTTATTATTTAGATAGTTAAGTATATTTGGATTTGTACAGCAATATCATAATGGTGATTTAATCCATTCATTATTTCTAAGGTTGCTTTTAAAGTTATGCAAATATTTTTTTCGATGTTCTGAAATCAAAGATGGAAAAGAATATTATATCAAGTCCTTCTGTCTGTTATTCTGCTTGACTCTGCGTTTTCCTATAACTTTAATAAGCATTAGCTAGAAACTATATGTCACAACACTAATCAAGGACATTTTTGATAAGATCAAGGTCATATGCAATTAAAAGTATAAAACACGATAAAGGCTACAGACTGACGGTGCTTCAGTCACTCGTGTTTAACAGGCATCTTGTATCATTGCATATTTGATTGTATATTGTATCATTGTATATTTGATTGTATATGGTATCATTGTATATTTGATTGTATATTGTATCATTGTATATTTGTGTCATTGTATATTTGATTGTATATTGTATCATTGTATATTTGATTGTATATTGTATCATTGTACATTTTTTGTATATTTGATTGTATATTGTATCATTGTATATTTGATTGTATATTGTATCATTGTACATTTTTTGTATATTTGATTGTATATTGTATCATTGTATATTTGTATCATTGTATATTTGTATCATTGTATATTGTATCATTAATATATTGCATCATTGTATATTTGATTATATATTGTATCATTGTATTTTTGATTGTATATTGTATCATTGTATATTTGATTGTATATTGTATCATTGTATATTTGATTGTATATTGTATCATTGTATATTGTATCATTGTATATTTGATTGTATATTGTATCATTGTATATTTGATTTTATTTTGTATCATTGTATATTAGATGATAATGGCGAACCATGATGTGCAAAAATTCATTAATTGTAATTTTTATCTAAAAAGGTGACTGAACTCAAACATTCAGAGAATGACTATTTCATTATTCATATCAAAAACGTGTTTAACAGGTTTGAAAACAGGACTGTTTTAAATAAAGTGATAAAATTCTTTAGAATTACGAGAAAATGTCAATTTCCTTGTTAATAACTTAGTTATTTACAATATTTTTTCAATCATTTTCCCCCTACTTCTATTCTTGATTGATGAATGTCATTACTTGCGGGCCTTAGGGAATCTATACAGACGATATTTCTCTGTAGTTTATAATTACCTTTGGTCATTAATTTTCGACAAGTTTGCATTTGATGAGAAACATTTCTGGTGATAAAAGTTAATATAAATATTCTTTGTTTTTCCTTGGAGTGTACAATATTTCCATTTTATTAGCATTCGTTGAATTCATAAAGTTAAATTTGATTTATTTTTTTTCTGTTAGGCTGCATGTTTTGAATGTTAATAATTCTAATTAAGTAGACTAAAATTGTTTAATGTATTCAAATAATGTGCAGCTCGGACTGTGATTAAAACAACATGCAGCCTTCATAAATTGTAGATTAGCTTTGTAGCATTTTTATAATAGCTTTAATCTTTATGAACTTCGAACTGAAGGCAACCAAAATATTAATGTCAATTTGGAATTTTCTATATTTAAAAAGGATTGTGGTCTCACTTACAATGTTAAGTATTTATCTAGAATTAACGCATTATAGATCAAATACCATCTATAAAAACATTTATAAATAACAAAAGTTTCTGATCCCACGAGTATGCAAATTAGACAAAGACACGTCATATTTTTTACCTCCAGCGTGATTTGTAGGGAGAGAATGGCGAATTACAAATTGAATAAATTTCATTGTTTTTACAGATTTCATACGTAAAGGAATGGAACACCTCGGCATTGATCCACTATTTGTGATGGATTGTTTCTTCCGAAACACGCCCTTTTATACCAAGACAGGTTTAATTATTTGCTTGTCGGTATTACACATTGCACGACCTAATTCATTACGTGTGTAAAAATATCATGAAATTATGTCTGGTCTATTGAGAGGTGTGTAGGCCTTCATGTGGAGTTCTCCTTTGGTAAGATACTTTTAATTCTTTATTGGTGATGGCGTGGAGAATCTTATGACGGCAACTACTATTATATCATATTGATTATATAAGTATTAAAGAATAAGTGTTTACAATATTACAGGTGATATATTTCATGTAATAAGTCATATCTACTTTTTCTTATCTTAATTTATTAATATATATACTTTTTATTATTTGAATACGTTATAATCATGATAATTAAAGAATACTTTGACAATTCCATATGTATACTTAGAGCTCTTTTATGTACAGTATTTACACGTGTATCAATCAATCTCCAGCATTGCAGAGACATAAAAATTACATAGAAAGAGAAAGTAAGCTTTAATTACTAGGACTGAAAATAGTTTTATCCGTTCCAACATGTTTCGACCACCTTGAATCTACATATCTTGAGTAAGCAATATTGATGCCACATTTCATAACAGTATCCGGTCATACTTTCATAACAGGCGATTGCTAGAACATCTTGTGCTTTATCGGAATAAACTGTTGACTACATTCTGTGATTAAAACAATAGAATCAGAAAGGAAAAAAGCATAACATCAGTATGGTGGCATATTTCTGCCCTCTACATGCAAGATAAATTATGTCGACATGCCAAATAATAATGTCTACGTGCAAGTTATATGTTGACATTAAAGTTTATACCATTTTTTACATAAGATTTTGATTTTAATATGGACAACTTTGTTTACAGTTTCTGATATCATTTATCTATGCAAGATGCAACATAAGTATGTAGACATGCGATTTAAATTATTTATGTCAACATGCGAGATAATTATGTTGCCATGCGACCTTTTTATGTCAACATGCGAGATAAATATGTTGCCATGCGACCTTTTTACGTAAACATGCGAGATAGTTATGTAAGCATGCGACTTTTTTATGTGTTGACAGGCGACTTACTTATGTCAACATGCAAAATAGTTATTTCGAACAGTTGCATACCAACATAAATATCTCGAATGTTGACATAAATAAGTCGCATGCGTGTACATAATTATATCGCATGTTGTCATAAGTTGGTTGCATGTCTAAATAATTATGTTGCATCTCGCATGTATGATGTCAGATACTGACGTTAGTAAGTTAAGTTACCCGTAATAAAATCTAATTCTCTAAAAAAAAAAAAATGGTAACTTGCATATTAGCATACTTATCTTGCATGTAGACATAATTATCTTGCCTGATGACGTACTTTTCTCGCATGCTGACATAATTTAACTTGCAAGTAAGGGGGGGTCACTTTTTTCATGAGATCTAGTCATGTGCAATTACATGAATTTTTAATATTCATCATTCTTTATTATATTTCTAAAATTTACAAGGCAACTTGAGTATTAAAAATATTTTCCGAAACTATTTTTCGACAGAGAAATACATTGACACAAACTTTTTTTCCTTCTCAGCCAAAGTTTGGTTGATTCTGATAACTAACGAAAAACTTGAAAAAGAGATCAGGAATTGCAGTTTGGCATTATCGAGAGCTATTTAATGTATGATTCTTTGCCGTTCTTTGTAAATTCCTTCCTTTCATTTTCAGGTTGTTTGGAATTGGAAGAAGTTATTTAAAAAACATGAATAGAAACAAGAGAGTGTTTATATTCTTTGGGATTTGGATTTTACTTGCCTTTATCGCCATCTTATTAAACGTGTTGAACGTGGATTGGACCAAAACCAACTACATAAACGCCATCTTCATCATTGTAGTATTGGGTGTTTTACAGGGAAGCGTGATGGAATTCCCCATGCAAACTGTGGCTACATTATTAATAGGTGGAGAAACTCGAGACCCACAAAGAGCCAAGTGTGACAGGTTTACCATTCTTTTGAACTACAATCTTCTTGCGCTCAGTAAAGATGAAATTGACGATTGTTTGGATAATATGTTCCAAGCTTTCATGGGGAACCTGAGTCCTAATGTCTCAGCTGTGCTTGTTAGTGCAACTGGTGCACAAGAACTTAAAGACTACGAAATAGAAGTAGTACAAAAATACAGATCCCTCATATATGATCATTTATTCCAGGAAGGGGTATCTTTTGCTGAAGAGGATTTTGATTCAATCAATCCTGCACATTTGGAACATTTGTGGAAATTATACGATGATGTGGAGAAATCTGTATTTATTACAGAGTACTTGCATGATATTTGTGATCGATTTGCGCGTGAATTTATGGTTATACATCGTGTCAGTCGCGTATTACGCAAGTGTGGACAGTACCAGGACCTGATGCTCCTTTCGGAAGGGGATGACTTAGCTTTCACATACTGTGACAGAGAATTTTATGGCAGGGATGCTAGACCGTACTCAGAGCCTCTATTTCACGATTCAGAAGACGTGAATAACATTTTTGGAAGAAAATTTGACTATACTTTAGTGTTAGACGGTGATACTGGTGTACCAGATGGGTGTGTTTATGAGTTATTGTCCATCGCTGCAGCGAATCCTGAGCGAGGAATCATACAGCCTGCCATCAAACTGTATTGCAATGACACAGACACAATTTTTATGCACATAGAAGCAATGAGACAGTCTATTTATGAACCAATGACAAATGCAGTGATGGCTTTGCTTGGTCAATCAGCTTACTTTGGGAAGGCAATGATAAAAAATAAAATATATATTGAAAGAGTGATTGGGACAAGAGATAATTTAATAGAGCGAGTTCCTGTCGATGTTTTGAGTCATGACACTTTCGAGGCAGCATTATTACAACCTTTATATGCGGGTTCGGCGTATCTCCTAGAAGCACCCTCATTTAATTTCGTTACATGGAACATTCGAGAAAGACGCTGGAATCGAGGAGAAGTGCTTTTAGCGATGTACTTCTGGAAGAATGCCGTAGGGAGGCTTATGAGATGGATTCAAAGGCAGATGAAAGGAGATAAGTTTAACCCTACAAAACTTCGTACCGAGTCTCATCTCGATTTTGTGAGCAGTTTCATTGCCTATGCTGCTCTCAGACAGATGATGATGAAACCATTCTTACTTTTTTACGTTCTTATTCACATCAGCGTACATCTCCGATACAGATATGCTTCTATCATCATTGTAATGTTTCTAGTTCTTGTATTCCCAAAATTTGCAACGTGTAATAAGAAGAACTACAAATATGTCATTATTGAAACTATCGCTTCTATTTTACAATTCACACCAGAAGCAATAGTGGGTTGTGTTAGATTTGTGAAAGCAGTACAAGCGAACCTTGGTGCTAATGTTAAATGGATCCCGCAGAGGGCAGTAGAAGACGAATTTAGAGCGTCCAATTGCTTCATATCCAGTCTAAAACATCTTTGGGGATATTCAGTTTTTGCTGTTATTTGTAGCATAATCATTGCATTATTTGTGGAACAAGCTTTATTATTGTTAGTCATGTTTACCACATTATTTTTCCTACCCCTTTATACTGGTGTAACGTCACTTCCTCTGAAAAAAGAGGTAGAACGCCATTTTTACAAAACAAATGTCGAAATTGCTACTGGCGCAGCACACACTCCGGGAATTTACAGATCATTTGAAGATTCTGAATGTGTTAACAAAGGTGCAGAGCTAGATATTATTTGATATTTTTTTCTTTATATTTCATCATATTATTTATAAATATTTATACAAAATTGCGTGCTATAAGTAACATTCTTTTTTTTTAAACCTCCTAAAATGTATTTTGTTACATTAATTTGTGTACATAACAAAATAAATGAAATTTTTTAAAAAATGTTTTGTAATAATGTGTCTTTTTTTCACTTCCAACTTATACTCATAGTTCCCTTTCTAAGGAGGAAAATTTTCAAAATCATACGTCAGTTTTAAATATTTTTAATATTCATATCAACCAAATTGAATATTTGAATTACTATACCTATACTGATTCCTAAATTACATAAAAATCTTTATAAATAGAGATTCATAGCGTGTTCTACTAAATGTTTTTTAAAAAGCCTTAGTCGCTGCGTGGCCTATGTAGTGGTTATAGCGTTTGCTCTTGATTTGTGGAGTGAGGAATTAATCCTTATGTTGCGGGTCCGAATCCCACTGCAGGACGTGGAGGCCAGTCCTTCGAATGAGACCGTATAAACGAGGTCCCGTGTCGCAGTAGGTGCTTGCACGAAAAAGATCCCTCACTGCTCAAAGGCCGTAAAAGCCGAGTACAAGTCTGAATTTGCAGCCCTCCAGCAGCAAGTAATGGATTTTCAATATGAGTGAAAAATTAGCGAAGGGTGTTAAGCAAACAAGAAAAAAACGAAGCCTCCCTCTTTACTCCTCACAAATTTATTAACAGCAACAAAGGAGAAATCTCAAGAGTGTTGCACAACATATTTGAGAAGTGGTGTTAGTCAGATGTGGATACTTAAAGACTCTAAAGGAACTATTAGAAAATTTAAAATCACAAATTTTTCAAAATCCAAAGTATCAAATCGCACGCCATTTCAAGACTATATACAACCATGCCCCATGACAAATTAAAGACCAGGCTTTACATACTCCAAAGTTGATATTAAAAAGATCTTAAATTCTGATTGTCAATATCTAATATGTACTTTTTGGAGACCAGGTCTTCCAACAATCTGTTAGAATTGCCATGTGTTCTAATTGTTCCTCTTTATTAGACCTGTTTTTGTATTCATATGAAGCAGAGTTTATTCAAAAACATCTGAAAAGAAAAAAAAATATGTTGCCCTCATTTCGACATTTAGATATATCGGCGCCGTTTTATCAGTTAAAAGTATTCATTTTCATTCCTGAGTTGATTCAATATATCCCTTTGAACTCAAAATAAGACACCACAGTCTGACACATCTGTTTCATATTTGGATATTTTACTACAGACTGACATTTATGGCAAACTAACAACTAAACGTTATGATAAACGTGATGACTTCGAATTTTCTATTGTCAACTTCCCTTATTTATGTAGAATATACCATTATCACCTGCATATGGAGTTTATGTCTGGAAGTTGAATATACTAGTATACGTAAGAGCATGTTCTACGTAAGAACAATTTCTAAAACTAGGCAAGCTATTGACGAATAAGTTGATGATCCAATGATATCAGCAGTCTCGCTTGAAGTCAACATTTTGTAATTTCTATTGTCGATAGTGTAGAAACCTTGTTAGCAAATTATGTTGAATGTTAACTGACTTTCTCATTCAAATTGTTCGGCTTTTATTTTCACACTGAATTGTCTACGGATTTTCCAACTTATCTGATCATGACAAGGAGCACACGGCGGGTGTGACCGGTCGACAGGGGATGCTTATTCCCCCATGGCACCCGATCCCATCTATGATATTTTTAGAGGTCTGCGTTTGCTCTGCTCATAATTTGTATTGTTTCGATGGACATTTGAGCTTGAATACTGTTCGTTATCTTCATATTTCATTCCTCTTGTAAAGGAAAGCATAATTTTCCTAGTCACAGTTACAGGTACCTGAGGACAGGATTGTGCTTCTATGATGCACCACCACCTTTTTAGTAATTGTATGATTTTTTTTTTTACCTTTATAACCTTTTCAGTTTTATGTTTTTATTTAAAATCACATCAAAATTAACAACTCAGATACAAATTTTAATAACATTCATTACCCCTAGAGGGCGTCCAGATGCTTTATACTTTAGTATCCAATGCAAATTATAATAACATTCGTCACCTCTATATGGTGACGAATGTTATTAGTATTTGTATCTGGGTTGTAATTTTTCTGTGATTTTTAAAGAGAGACACGTAGGTGAATCGCAAGAGATTAAAAATAAACAAAATAATTTTTTTTTTTACAAATGATAAAATTTTAAAGGGGAAATCGTAGAGGCACGATCCTATCCATAAAGTTCTGTGTGACTGTCCTATATATTACGTATCTCTTGTTTTAAAAGCCATACTGCTGGAATTGTGGTTTTTTTTTAAAAAGTTTTGTCAAAGTTTATTTAAATCTCATAAGGTAAGTAATCCTGATATTTTACAAAAACCAACTGCATGAGCAAAGGATATGCAAAAACATTCAGTTGCTCCCCCTTTTGGTTAAAAAGAGACATAGTTTTTGTCTGCATTGTGTAGTGTTAATCAAATATGAAGATATAGAACAGTAATCAAGCTCAAAAGTCCATTGAAACAATAAAAAAAAATCGGGAGTAGAGCAAACTACAGACCTCTAAAAACATCAGAGGTGTGATCAGGTGCTATTGAGGAGTAAGCGTCCCATGTCCGCCGGTCACACCCGCCGTGTGCTCCTTGTCATGATCGGGAAAACGGAAAAATCTTTAAACAATTCAATGTGTAAATAATGGCCCAACAATTAGTACATCTATGGTAAAAGAACCAAACATTTCAATTTTTTGTATAAAATGCAGAAAAAAACGTTTGCGTGGTAAAAGTAATTTATGACCAAAGAAAAAATACTTTGCATAATTGTGAGTTTTTAATTGACCGCGTTGCAGTAAATTCAAAATTTCAAAATTTTGATATTGCAACCTCCTGGTAAATTTAAAATTTACAAAATGAAATAAACATATTGAGGTCATAATAAACTGTGTCCAGTATTTGTAATTTGTAAAATTTGTGCATAACATTCATAGTTGAAAAAAATCACAAATTCACAACTAGTTATGCAATTGCATTTTTTTCTTCCCATGTCATGATTTTATATGCATTTGAAATCTATTTCATAATAATATGTAGAAATTTTGTAAACATCTCACAATACAGAATAAGTAGCCAGACAAAACAATTTGGGTGTGTCTGATAAGACCACACAAAATTTGTTTTGGAAACCCTGTTGTTAGAAAAACTCATAATTATAAATAATTGAGTAGCCTTAACAAAAAATATATATCTCAGACTTTTTTTTTAAATCAATGATCACTAATGACCAGTTTACCTTTGATTTTATCTTTCTCTCAGCCCAAAGCTCAAGTGATCAAAGTTTGAAATATATATAATTCTATATTCTATTAAATAATTCTTTTCTTAAACCACCACCACCCCTACCCACCCTACCCTATCCGGTTAAGTTTTGGGTCAACAGTTTTCATGAAGTAGTGTGTGTTAAAAAAATATTTAGTCCTTTCAATCATTGTTGAGGAAAAATTGAGGGTTATGTTTATGAACTACCACTATAAGTCTAAAAAACATTTTAGTTTATTTACAAACAGGATTCATTTCATTTTATTTATATCATTCATTTGGTCCATTCATCTTTTATGATCGTACTACGACTCTGAGTTTGAATTATTTAAAAAATAAAAAAAATAAAATAAAATAAAATAAAAAATAAAATATAATTTAATCGTTCTACGAGCGTACATACTTTTATATCAACGTTTCGGTTAACACTTTTATCTACGCATTGCTGTGTGAATGATGTTTTCGACGATTTAAGGAATCATAGACATATGGACTTTTGTATATGTACTGGAATATGCCCCCTCTCATATTTGTGATTTAATGCATTATAAAAGCGTTTGAAGCAATAATATTGAAGGTGTGAAAACGATATTGAATTTGATATTGATTGAAAGAAGACTAATCTTTCAAAGGATACATATTTGATGACAAGTAATTGATAGGCTTTACTCCATGACACAGATACAGTTCGGAATATGAAATGATTATCGAAACAAAACTCCTTTTTCCACAGTCTACTGACAACAGTGCGTGGTGACTAGAAATATGCAATAAAATAAGTGAGCTTGTGATTTGAGTAAGGAGATAGGAAGGAGGAGAAAAAGATCCTATATTCACCTGGGATAAAGAGAGATGTCACGCATCGAGATTGTCATTTTGGGATTTATCGGATCACAGAATAATTTGCAACATCTAAAAGATAAGAGTGATTAATAATTCATGGCAGATGAAAAACTATCTGACGCTCATAAAGGATGCATAACAAAACTGCCACGAGGTAATGAGTTTGATTTCGTTGCCAACTGTAGTATTTACATCAGCATTTTTAGTGCTATCGAGAGAAATTGTTCAATTCTAAACTTTTCCTTTACATAATACAGCGGACATACATTGTAAGTTTAATGCTGCGTAATGTATCTGTGAGTTCAAGACAAGAAGATGTGGATTGAAAATGCTCTGTTTTGCATCTGAAAAATCAATCAAAGGAGAGTCAATTTACTTTGTTAATACTAAAAGCTTTTCTGAGTGGTGATATATCCGTTCAGGATGGCAAGCTTGGGTGTTAGAACGGAAAATACCGTGGACAACGATGAAAATAAAGAAGGGAAGGACAATGGAGAAATTACAAAAACAAAAGACAATGGGGAAAAAGAGCAAGGAAGAGACGGCAGACAAGGAAAGGATAGTGTTGAAAGCAGAGGGAGAAATGGCAATGGGGAAAGTGAAGGTGAAATGAACAGTAGAACAGGAAAGGACAGTGGTGAAAGCAAAAAGAAAAATGACAATGGGGGAAACGAAGGAGAAAAAGTCAGCAGAGTAGGAGAGGATAGTGTTGAAAGCAGAGGGAAAAATGATAATAGGGAAAATAAAGGGAGAAAGGATAGCAGGACAGGAAGGGGAAGTGGAGAAAGCAGAGGAAAAAAAGACAATGGAGAAAACGTAAGTCGAAAGGCGAAGGACCCAAACACACTTAAATGCTCACTTTGTTACGAAACTTTTAAAGATCCAAGGTTACTGGAGTGCTATCATTCCTTCTGCAAAGAATGCTTGAAATACCAGATTGAGGCGAAAGGTATATTTTCAAGTTATGAGTGTACTGTTTGTGGAGCTGTAAGTAAAATTCCTCAGAATAAAGAAGAGGGCTTTCCCAAAAATTTCTTCTTTTTCAACAAGGATGGAAATGCGATTTTAAAGTGTGATGTTTGCGGAGAAAAAACGAGAGCTGAATTTTACTGTTTCGTATGTGATCAGAATTACTGCTCATTTTGTCTTCGGGTACATTCCAAACTACAAGGAACTAAGAGTCATAGAATTGTAACCATTAGTGAAAAGGGAGACAGAATGATATCACAAAGTGTTTCTTTATGTGATCATCATACTACGCAGGAGTTGAAATATTTTTGTGTAACTTGTAAACAACCAATCTGCATCGACTGCAACATGACAATGCATAAGAGTCATGAGTGTAAGGATATATCCGAGGCAGTTATTGAGTTTCGAAATTCCCTTGAAAGTGCAACTGAAAATTCGGAACATCGTGACTTTATTGAAAAGTTGTCCAACGAAAAAGCTAAAGCAAAGAAAGAAAAAAACAAGATGCTAGATACTGAGGAAAAACTTCTCGATAATATAAGGGAACAAGCACAACTTTTTCACAGATTAGTCGATGATATTCAAGATGAATGTTCCAGTAAGGTATTGGAATACTCTCCTGACAACAGTGCTATGAAGAATGTAGAAAAAATCAAGTTGCAGTATTTAGGGCTCTATGAATTTTCAACTATGCTTTTAGAACAAGGAAACGATATAGATATCATTATTCACGGCACAAAACTGACTGAAATGTTGGAAAAAGTGAAAAATTCTACAGCTAAACCACCTGCGAAGGACAATACAAATATTGACTTTGTAAAGGGGTTCTTGATGAAGGAGAAAGTTAGAGATCTGTTTGGATTCATTTCAATTCCAGAGGAGAAGGAAGGCGTTGAAGAGATAAGACTTGTAAAATGGTTTGATTGTGAAATGGAGGATACCGTGATAACGGGGATTTCTTGTGTGGAAGACGACAAAGCATGGATATGTATGGGAAATGAAGGAGTGGCAAAATTATACGATGTAAAAGGCAAATGTCATGACACTTTTGTCACTGATTATAAACTAGATGACATCGCTTATGATGGAAAAGGAACTGTTTATCTATCTTGTAATGCAAGAAAAATGGTTGTAAAGAAAGAGGGTGATACCGAGCCAGAAACCTTTCTGCGTACCAAATGTTGTGCCCGTGGTATGACTTTTGACAGGAATAGCAACACACTCACTGTGGGCTTAACCGAAAAAGACGTGTTTTATAACTGCAGTGAAAACCCATCAGCATCGATGGTCAAGATGCAAAACATGAAGACAGAAAAGAAAGTAATGGGGAGAAACACTATACAGTATCCAGCTCGAATTGCCTTAAACGCAGAAGAGAGCTGGTTTGTAGTGTCGGACTGGATTACTCTTCAGGTGGTATTGACAGACTTTGAAGGGAACCAGTTGAATTCTTTTGATGGCGAAGCCCCGGAGTGCATGGAAGAGTCGGAATTTATACCACGTGGCATTTGTTGTGATTCCAAGGGCCGGATCTATGTCGTAAATAATGGTTCAAACTCGGTTTGGAGACTAACTGCTAATGGTCGCTTCGACAAAAAGATAGTTGACATTGATGATTGCTGGTCACTTGCATGTGATGTCAAGAATAGACTTTGGATAGGTACACAGACTGGGAAAATTTTTATTTTTCAAGTGTGACCGATTGTTATGATTTCAATTAATAATTATTCCTTAGTTAATTACAAACATAACATTTTTTCTTTCAAATACGTCTGAAAAGAGTGAAATATACTTTACTGAACACAGTACTAATCGAACAAGTTTTACCTATCCAGTTCAAGTGGTCCTCACGACCCCATCTCAATTGATATTATTTTTTCCCCGATTTCGTGAGTTAAACTTCTCTAAGACAGGCATGTGCTAAGATACCAGATAGCAAACTGCTCTTCGGTACTCTTAATAAACAATAACTTTCATTCATTTCAATTCAATTCATGATGCAAATATTTTGGATATTTTTTTTTAGTTACTTAATGATGAAATATAACTTTATGATTTATTTAGATTCTCCTCATTGCAATTTGAATTCTGACAGCTTTGATCTCTAGGGATATGCGCGAGACAGGTTCTGGTTTTTTTTCCTGGAAACGTCAAAGGATTTTTATTAAAATTTCATCATTAAATGACAATCATTATTCGCCATATCAATATTGACATTTCGCTATTGATAATTCATTTCAAAATTTTCATAAGAATGAACACGGTTCAAATATAGGAGAATCAAATTTGATATTTTAGGGTTATTGAACTTATGTTGGTGAATATTGGCACGAGTGCCAATATTCACCAATATAAGTTTAATAACTCCTTTATTATATAGCTTAAACATTTTACCATTGTCAATTAACAATGGTTATTTCCATTCTTATGTCGACACGATATATCCCGGTGAGCTTGAGATAAAAGATACCACAGAGTCTGACACATCTGTTTCATATTTGGATATTTTATTAGAAAAAGACATTAATGGTAATCTAACAACAAAGTTTTAAATAAATGATAAATGTGATGACTTTAACTGTTCAATCATCAACTTCCCTTACTTATGCAGCAATATACCCTTATCACCTGCATACGGGGTTTATATCTCTCAGTTGATTCGATACGCCAAAGCATGCTCTACGTATGAACAATTTCTAAAACGAGGTAAGTTATTGACAAACAAGTTGATGAATCAAGAATATCAGCAGTCTCGTTTAAAGTCATCATTTCGTAAGTTTTATGGTCGATACAATGACCTTGTCAGCAAATACAATCTTTCATTACGTAAAATGCTGACTTTTTTCAACACTAATTGTTAGGCCATTATTTACACACTGAATTGTCGACGGAATTCCCCGATCATGACAAGGAGCACACGTCGGGTGTGACCGGTCGGCAGGGGATGCTCATTCCTCCATGGCACCTGATCCCACCTCTGATGTCTCAGAGGTCCGTGTTTGCTCTGCTCCAATTTTGTAATGTTAAATGGACATTTGTGCTCGAATACTGTTCGTTATGTGAAATATCAGAGTTTGTCCTGGAAGTGTTCAATATCATTCAAATAAGCGTAATAAGCGTAAATGACTGCGATTCTGGGAAGGGGCACCCATGTAATTCGGAGTCAGATACCTGGTGTTATTTTTATACTATGGGTAAATTTGTTTTACAGAAACAAGTGCCTGTGCTATAATTGTATTAATCAATAAGTGTTTTGCAAAATAAAACTAAAATGAAATTTGAAGATTAGTGTTTCATTGAATGGAAATTGTGCTAAAATGGGAGGGAACTACAACTGCTCAACAAGTGGACCATACGATGGATAACTGTGAAGCAGTAGATCGATATTGGTTTGTCACGAGCACTCTCTCACCAAAGCATTTAATCTTGCAACCAAACAATTCATAATTTATTAAAATCAATCAGTATAATATTTCTTTTGCAAAAAATCAATTGTGATGTACTTAAGCAATTAATAATCTAAAGTCACAACATCTAAAAAAAATAATAATTAACAAATAAAAACTTTAATCAAATTCGTGGGTTTTTTTTCTGGGGACAACTGAAATTCCTAAATTCATTTTTCTTATACCATATAAAGAATTGCTTTGTTAATTTTAGTAGAAAGTTCCACGATGTAAGGAGTTGATCCTTACGTCGCGGGTTCGAATCCCACTGCGGGACGTGGAGACCGGTCCTTCGGATGAGACCGTATAAACAGAGGTCCCGTGTCGCAGTGGGTCCTGGGATGTAAAAGATCCCTCACTGCTCAATGGTCCTGAGTACCGAGTATAGGACTGAATTTGCAGCCCTCCACAGGCAAGTGGTGTCTTCTCCATTTGAGTGAAAAATTCTCGAGAGGGACGTTAAACAAAAAACAAACATACTAGAATGTTCCATGATCTTGATTATTGTTTTAAAGACAAACATATGAATTATATATGTTTTTATTACCTTCTCTAATGAAAATCACTTCTTTTTTTGTATCATAAACAATTTAAACCGGGTTTTTCGTGGAGAAAATCCGGTTATCGAATTGGAGGTAATGGGGAGGGGGGATTGACGGGCCACTGCCAAAAATGTACATTAATTGTCCGGATAACTCCTACTATAATTTTCAAGATGGGAACTTTCTAATTTTGCAGATCAGTTGTACACATATCAGAAATATGCATGTTACTTGGATTTTGGTTTTTTTTTTAATTATTATTTTGTATGAAAAAAAAAAAACCAGATGTTGAACTTTGGGGGGGGGGGGGACAAAATATTGCATTTAGGGTGCATCATTTGTCCTCCTACAGTTTTCAATAGAGGAACTGTTTTTTTATATTGCAGATCAACTGTACATTTATCAGAAATGTGCTCATCTCTGATATATGTACAATTGATTGTATAATTACATAGGTTTTGACTTTTGATTATTTATTATATGAAATATGAGGATAATGCACAGTGATCAAGCTCAAAAGTCCATGGAAACAACACAGATTTGGAGCAGAGCAAACACGGGCCTCTAAAAACATCAGACGTGGGTTCAGGTGCCACGGAGGAGTACACATCCCCTGTTGATCGCTAATACCCGCCATATGCTCCCTGTTATGATCGGACAAACGCAAAAATCCGTAGACAATTCAGCGTGAAAAAAATGACCTAACAATGAAAAACGTCAGTCAACATTCGACTTAATGATATATTGTATTTGCTGACAAAGTCATTTATCGACCATAGAATTTGCAAAATGTTGACTTTAAACGAGATTGTTGATATTCTTGTTTCATCAACTTACTTGTCAATAGCTTGCCTCCTTTTGGAAATTGTTCTTACGTAGAGCATGCTCCTGCGTATCGAATCAACGGGAGACATAAATTCCATATGCAGGCGATAATGGTATACTTATTGCTACATAAATAAGGGAAGTTGACGATAGAAAAGTTGATGTCATCACGTTTATCAAAATGTTTTATTGTTAGCTTACCATTAACGTATTTTTCTATTGAAATATCCAAAAATTAAAGTCAGACTCTATGGTATCTTTTTTCGAATTCAAAGGGATATATCGAATGAACGTAGGAATGGAAATGATTATTTTTAATTGCTAAAAAGTCGCTATATCGAAATGTTGAAATGAAGGTCGCATCAAGACTTTTCATGTAGAAGTTTTTGAAGTTGTTTAATAAATTCTGCTCCATATGAATAGAAGAAAATAGGTCTGCTTATAACGAGGTGCAATTAGTACTAATGGGAATTCCTACAGATAGTTGAGAAAAATACCAGGTTTTTTCCCAAAATATTGCATATAGGGTACATTATTTGTCCGGATAACTCCTCCTACAGTATTTTTTAGACGGGAACATTTTTATTTTGCAGTTCAATTGTACATATATCAGAGTTTTTCATGGCACTTGGATTTTGATATTTGATCATTTATGGGGAAAATGCCATTTGTTGAACTAAGTTATTTCTGTGCAAAATATGCTAATAGGATACATTGATTTTGTTGGAATGTCACCTCCTACACTTTTCAGAATAGAAAGTTTTTATAATTCATATAATAATGTGAGAAATACCAGTACTGTTCACACAAAAGAAAATCCCATTTCCTGTCACACTGACATGTAAGGGCATTATAACATGCAATTAACATGCAATTAAATATATATTTAAAAGGATATTATTAACTTGCCAGCTCATGAAAATAGATCTAAAGGATTTCACTATAGCTATAGAAAACCGTCATTTTCGATATCTTCTCTTTTAATCATAGCCAACCTCAAGGTTGTATTAAAGTAGATCCACATGCAGTTAAGTAATTTCTTACAAAGCAGTTGTGTAAGAATCTTCAAAAAGAATTGTAAGAATCATAGGTTGTAATAATATCTTTTCAATCATTGGTTCAATTTCTGGTGAATAAAGTTAATCACATATACCTTTTTAAAAATGTTTTGGGGTTCGGTGGGATGGTGTTCGCTGGAGAAGGACAGACAGTAGCTATAGTCTGTTGATTAGCGAAGTGGATGCCTTACGGTTGCTTTGCCGGAATACATGGTCTTGTTTCCGCTACTTGATCATTATTAAGTTCTGTAACAAGGCCTTCGACCGTTACATTGTTAAGAAATACAAGGAAAATCGAATCTCAAATTTACAGTTGTATTAGATGTAAGGTAGGCTCTGCGTTGACTTCTTGTCTCAGACTGTGATTACTGGTTCGGCCACTCTCTCGTCATTGTGGACTTCATGGTCTTGTGATGACTACCGTTCCCCTTTCTCCATATGCTAGTGTTGGAGAGATTAGGTTATGGTTGTTTCTCTGCTTGCGGGACTTCTAGAAAGTCTGCCTAATGTAGTGGACTACTTTTATTTCGTAGGGTGTGTTGGGTTAAGACAACCTTCAATTTCGAGTTTTTGAGTTGTAAGTTTGTCGATTCGTTTGAGTTCCCATCATTCCCCTAAGTAATACTTATAAAACATATATCCTTTAATAAAGAGTCTAAGAAGACCCCGATTTTTGGTAAGATGATCGCGTAATAAAACGTGTTGCGCGTCACAAAATCAGTGCGTTGGACATTATTTTGGGACCTAGGGTATGTTTGACGTATCTGAGGTGGATGTTAAATGCAGAAATCCGCCATCGTCTTTAGATCACCTACAAAGCTCTGTTTCATTAACTTTTCTGGTCTGTACTTACTTTTCCATCTTTGGGAAAAAAACCCTGCTGAAAATCGTTCTTTTCCCTAGAACTTCCCGCAAGTAGTTTCCATATCCACGATTGCAGATCATTTTGCACTGGTAAAGATTAAAACCGTACGTAATGGTGTTTGCAATTTATTTTACGTGAAAACTGCATGATATAAAGAGGCGGAAGCTTGCAAATTCCAAATATACTTTGAAAGATTGTGTTTCGATTTGGAACTTTTTCTGTTTGCCGAATATTGCCATTAATTTCTTTTTTTTACTTTTCCTTCAATCTAGCCTTAATGTCATTAGCCGTCAAAATTTGGAGTACTCTATAAGTAGACATGTCATTCTGATTTTTCTCGTTAATAATGAAAAAAATTAAAAACTTATTCTTCCGAGCTTTCTTAAAAATAGTATAGAGTATTTTAGTTAGGGTTTAGCTGTGTTTTCTGGTAGAGTTTTCCTAGACTAAAATTTCTGTCGGTTTTCTTTTAATTGAAATATATGTAAATCAAAATAGATGTAAAACAGATTTTGGAAAAAAAAAAAAACAAGCTAATTCAGGGAATTTGTGTCCCCCGCTTGAAGAAGAAAAAGAGGAGGGAAGAATTTAAAAATATATATATATACAGATTGAGGGGGAAAAATGTCAACCTTCACCTTTCAGTTTTTGGCTTTAAGTCAGTAGGGGTCCTTTTTAAGTTAAAGAAATTCATGATCTTAAGTTTCATCGCAAAAGCATACAGAGAACTAAAGTTATCACCTGAAAACTGTATTATGTATGCGATATACATAAATTTCTGACCTTGGACTTTGACCTTTTAACCTCAGAATCAAAGAATTTTTCTTTAGGTCATATTGACTAAGCGTATAAAATTGAATTGCAAAACCTCAAAGAGAACTAGAACTAGAGTTATCAGCAGGAAACCATTTTATACAAGATATGAATTTTTTACCTTGACGTTTTGACGTAAAAATCAAGAGGTTTTCTTTATGACATTTGGAGTTATGGTATATAATTTCAAAAAGGCTAAGAAGAACTAAAGTTATTGTATGGAATTTTTTTTTTTTTTTTTGCATCGTATGAATTTCTGATCTTAACCTTTGACCTTTCGACCTTAAAAAAATCAGTAGAGGTCCTTGCTAAGACACTTGGAGTTATGATATATAACTTCATTGAAAAGGCTCCATGAAAATCAAAACTGTCAACTTAAAACCATTTTTTTTCAACATGTATATTAATTTTTGGCCTTGGTCTTTAAACTTTAGACCTCAAAATCCATACGTATCTTCCTTAGGCCATAGGTACAAGTAGCTGTGATACAACATTTCATTGCAAAATTTCAGACTTTTTAAGATATCGCCCGGAAACGAAAGTGAATTTCCTTGACCTTTGACCTTAAATTCAATAGTAGTCTTTCAAGGCCATAGGAAGTTGTGATCTTAAATTTCATAGAAAAAGTTCAAAGAACACCAAGTTACCCTTAAACATTTTGTTGTCGTTGCTTTTTTTTTTTTTTTTTTTTTTTTTTTTTTTTTTTTTTTTTTTGCAATGTATGAATTTCATATCTTTGACCTCTAAATCAATGGTGGTCTTTTTAGGCCATAGGGAGTTATGATATTGAGTTTCATTGAAAAGGCTCAAAGAAAACTCAAGTTATCATCTGGAAACTTTTTTTGCAATATATGAATTTATGATCTTAACCTTTTAACGTTCGACCTCAAAATTGATAAGTGTCTCCTTTATGCATTAAGTAGTTGTTATATAAAATTTCATTGCAAAATATCAAATGATTTTAAAGATATCGTCCCGAAACGAAAGTGTTACACACAGACAAAATGTATGAATTTCTGACCATGAACTTTGACCTTAAAATAGTTGTCCTTTTAGTCCATAGGGAGCTGAAATATAAAATTTCATTGCAAAAGTTCAAAGGTTTATCCGGTTATCATATAAGTCAATGCCTTTTGTCTTTGGACAGTCTATTCAATCCCAAATTGAAAGTACAAAACTGGTTTCTTAAACATTGATTCCCGAGCAAAGCTGAACACAGCTGAATTGAGTCAACCTGAAATCTTCCAGAAATGTGTGATCCTTTTCAGAAAAACAAAATACTAATAACTCACAGAGTATATATTTTATTATAAAGGGTTCTTTTTTCATTAAACATGTTCAAGGACAATGACAAAAAAGCAATCACTGCCAAAGAAATTACAAGTTGGGGTAAAAGAAGGGGGAGGGGATGGTCTCAATACAAACTAAACATACAAGTAACCTGAATTTTTAAAAAATCATGAGATTGCAAATATTTAAACTAGTACTGCAAAATACAATACATGAAAATCACTTGATTTTATCAAATTGCTAAACAATAAATATCACATTACAATAACAAAAATTTTCATGTGACCATCAAGGAACACCTAATAATAATTTATAAAGAAGAAAAAAACCAGATTTATACTTTGACCTTTTATTAATGCTGAGAGGTGTCTATAAATACAATGCCAAGCAAGCTACATCTATGTGATACATTGAGCATTTACTAAAATTAAGCTACAAATGTGCAACATGCTGGCTTTAACTACAGAGTCTGCATACAAAATTGTTACTTTTTTCATGTTTATAAATGTCTTTCTAAAATATTTCATAAATTAGTTAATCATTACATATTTATCAAATTTCTTTTTTAATATAAATATCTTAAGATCATCTTCGTGGAAATTGGAAGAAAGGAAAGTTTAATGAGCACATGTACTCTGTTCACCTGCCTATTAAAATGTAACTTAGAACATTCTTACATTTGATGTAAATGATTACATGTATATGATAAACAATAGTCAAACATTCATATACATTCCTGATGCCATGTGTATATACATGCAAAATAATATCATCAATTATATACAAATTCAGGTCTTGTTTAAAATTCACATAAATTTTATTCCAAACTTATTGAAATTAAACATACATGTATAATGTTTATAACACTTAAATATCCATCTTGTTAGCTTCACGTGCCATTAACATGTTTTCTACATCACAGTCTAAATAGAGCAACACAAATCATAATATTGCAATAAACATTTTCATACCAAGCACTTCTTTATAATATGACTTCCTGGTTCCTCCTTCATTAGTATTCAAAGAGCTTTCAACAATACGTGTATCACTTTTGGCAAATCTGGTGTGTCAGAGTTTTACATGGACTAAAATTTTATAAAATGATGGATTATTTTTCCTTTTGAAACACTGTACATAAAGTCCTCTGAAAGATTATTCTGAACTCACTGTAAACCTATCATAAAATTAACTTTACATTCAAAGGGGAATAAATCTAACTTGATTTACATTCAACTTCAAAACTATACACATCTTATTTCAAAAAAAAAAAAAAAAAAGAAAAAAAAGATGCTTGGTGTGTGAAAAATATGCAGTAATGCACCTGAAACCATAAGTACTTGTTAAAAATGACTGAAACATTCATAAACTAAATTGTGATATATAAGGACAGCAGTAAATGATTTTATATAGAGGGGGAAAAAACTCTTTTAGTTACTACATTATTCAGAAACTCCAATCTGAAAACTTCTTCAAAAGTCAACTGGCTGGCTACCAATTCTCAGTGAGGACTATACTACATGAAAGAATCAGCATTTTTTTCAAGATTATTTTTCGGTAGCATAAACAAGTGGAGACAATTCTTCATTGTAAGCTTAGATCATTTTTCTCACAATATTACCTTGTATATGAAGTCAAACCTACAATCTTAGACCTACTAACCCCTGAAGAACATAGTACAATGTACTTCCATTTCATCTATATTTTGTTTGAGAGAATAAATATACCACACTTCTTTACACAGGTTTATTCTGAATTCATATAATGCAAATAAAGGAGTTGCTGTCTGATTTAAGCAACTGGGGGAAAAAATGTTATAAAAGTGTCTTTAAAAAGGTACTGTTTCATTGAAATATTTGAAAAAAGAATTCCAAGTTACAATTTTCATACTATTGTGCATACACAACTCATGGGCTTATCGAAAGCTTGCAAAATAAATCAACCTTTTTTTAAAAAAAAAAAAAAAAAAAAAAAAAAAAAAAAAAAAAAAAAAAACTGGTTTGATTTTCATATTTGTTAATTTTTTCCAATCTCATTGCAGAAAGGTAAAAGTTTCTGAGAACTGGTTACCATCCAGGTACAGAATTATCCAGATCATGTAAAATGTCTCCTGAAGTCCTTTTTTTTTCAACACTGAAATTTGTATATGTAATACATTTATTTGGTAACTATTTGAAATACTAAAATCTAGGTTTTCATTCATTATGGCACTAGTGCTTCTCCATAGATGTAAACATATATTATCTTCCTATTTCATGGCTACACTCTTCACTTCTTTTAATCATGACTACATGTATAGTTATGGTTCTATTTCCATTCCCAAAGCTACAAAATTTAAATTGTATAAATCTTTACATATATCAATGTAACATAATATATTAATATATCAAGAGCTTCCATAAAACATTAATTTGTTTCCCTAATACAGGGAATTTAACTTCCTTAAATTCTGATAGAAAAAAAACCCCTGCTGATCACTACACATGTATGGAAAGTTAACAGTTCTCACATTATTTTCACAGGAAGAAGATTATATATGGCACTTTACCAAGTCTATGCTGATTTATTCTACTTTACACTTATTTTGGCTATTTCTTCCAATTTGGCCAGATAAAAAGTTAGAGATAATGATTTGTCATGTGTAATACATGCATGATGGTGTGTGGTGATGGGCATCTCTTAACAAGGAACATTTATTTTTGGACAAGTGTTGATAATAAGAATGAAAAAACTGTCAAATCCTTCAAGTTAAAATGATCAACATCTGCAAGTGGATATTTTGAGGTGGTGGGATGTTATGAAACTGACATTTGGAATATTTTTTTTTAATTGCACTATAAGCATGCAATGAATTACACACGAATATGAGAGATTTTGATCATCAACATATTTTGAGTTGTAAAAATAAGATATAAAATGTTACTTTTTTCCTTTCTTACTTTTTGCCTTCCAAGATTTTGTATACTTTATACAAGTATAGATATGGAAAGATTTCAGGTGTGGTTGTTTAAACCAATTTTTTTCACATTGTTGTCATGCCTCGACTAGGTAAACTGACAATATGTAAAAGTTTTATTTAATAAAAAATACTGGTGGATTTTTCCAAGTACCACTACTGAATTGATGAGTTGTTAGACTAGGGTACCCCAAACTACAGTTACCAAATTGCCTTAAGTTAACCAAGTTCTTGCATGGGTATTTACAACTGATGAAACCAAAGGTACGTCAATGACATGTACTGTATGTGCTGGGTATACTGTAATGTCACAATATACCATTCCAAGGATGTTTTATATGCTTTGCAGATATTTTCTTATACATAGAATCTTTTTTTTTTTCAAAACTGTATATAATGAAATGTCTTCCATATAAGTTTAAAGACATTATGAAACATATGATGACACTTTAAAAGAACACAAGGACTTGATTGTCCGACAAACTACTATGAATACAAAGAGGGTGAGAAAGAGTTTTTTGGTTCTCAATGCATATTCTTCACTGATTGGTGGATATTTAATGTAGTTATGGTTACATATGCATGAAGGCAGCTGATTGGCTCTTCATCTGTAGGAGTAACAAAAAGCACTTATTCAGGTAACATGAAAAAGCCAGGCAGGATCATATATGGTTTGATTCTTGGTTTTCATTGGTCATCTATCATCCACCTGAAAAGTGAAATAAGCAATTGTTAGTTCATTAAACAGCAAGACTGACAGACATTTATAACAAGATTTCTGAGGAACTACATTATAAACTTAAAGTTATAGTTTGATTATAAATGCCACAAATATCACATCCAGGGATTCTGAGATCATAGCTAGGGCAGGAAAAACTTGTTCAGATAATTGAGCAAGAACTTACCAGGAAGTCAAATCATTTAAAATATCATAGTTCTTAGATTGTTATAAACTTATCACTGATAAACATAAAATAAAAGAAATTAAACATTGTTACATGTACTTCCGAAGGTCTTTTACTATATCCATCTCATAATGTTATACTCTTTTGTTTATTTAAGACAAAATGTTGGTAATAATACAAATGCTGAATGTCAGCATGTATACACATGTATATGCATGTATCTACATAATGTTGTCAAACACAGTGATCACAATTATCTATGTAGTACTTGTATAACCACACAAATCAATAATAACAAGCCCCCTAATCATAATGTATATTGTTGTGTCCACCCACAAACACTAAAAAACTGTTTCTCATCAATCAAATCAATATTTAAACATGTCCGATATACAAGAAGGACAATGATAACAATTGATGGTTGTATGTTGTGAGAGGAAAAAACTTCTTGTCATGTCATTGTTGATACATCTACTGTATCCCCCTATATTCCACACATACAAATAATTCGCTAAAAATATGTCTTACAAATTGTCATTTAATGAAATAATGATATAAGATATTCTTGAGTTGATGCATTCATTTGATGCTATACATATTTTAGCTATTGGATTTATAAACAGGGAAGGACATCATTTTAAAAAAATTTCATCAGTATTTCAAACACTGTTTAAAAGTGATTTTCACATTTTCTTTCGAAAGGCATCAAAAGGTACAAGCACTTTTCTCTGATGGAGATAACCTCTTAATTGAACAAAACATCCATACAGTATATCCTCTAAAGTACACGTCAGAAATGTTTGTACATGTGGGAGATTCTTCTGTTTACATTGTTTAAACATGTAATCAGAGTATATATGTGGGAAACCTTACCATTGCAGGGTTTATACATATGCTTACTAGGATATATATATGCTGAGATTCTTATGTTTAGCTTATGATAAGCTTGGTAAACAGGGTATGTATATATACCCAAGGATTATGAGGTGTTGCCACTACCTAATCTGACATTCCACAGAATTTAATCCCCTATGACTACATTCATGTAAATCGGATAGCATTGAGAATCAATCCCTTCACAGCAGTTCTCTCTGTTACTGAATAAAACTAATACTTCTTTTGTCACTCATCAATGGCTACAGCTTATCCGTACACTGACATGGTATATTATTACATGCATGACACAAGAATTAAAATGTGATGAAAATGTGCACTTCAAATATCAGCACACACTGACATATATTGTATGCACAAATACTTAACATTTCAGTCAATATACATCATGCAGATATATATATATTATAAGTAATTTCCTATCAAATTCCAACTACATTCCATTACATATGTTTTAGTTATTGCTTTGCTTTTAAGGCATTGGCTCATACAGATGCTACCATTCTCCACATACAAAGTACAGACATGCATAATAGTCAACAGAACATGTACACATATTTGTTAAATTAATTATGAAACATTAAGGAATTCCTGTCCACATTTTCTCAATATCATAATGCCTAGATATGTACACTTTCCTTTAATGTACAGGATTTACATGCTTCAGCAATTGTTTTAAAATGTACATGCATGATAACTGAACAGAAGGTGAGAGTGTATATATTTTTAGTACAAAGTGCCCCTGTAAACATGGTAAATAAAGACTGTCCACTTAAATAGTCTAGCTTATGTACAAAGACATCCTGATCATTTTTAGTTCAAAACATTGTAAATCCTTATCATTAAAAATATTAGCTAAATGAAAATATTTACTTTGAATTTAACAGAGGATTCATTCACAAGGCAATGATTACAACTACTTGAAACACACATACAGATCATAAGGACCCTAAAAGTTATCTATGACAAATTTCAAATGACAATATACAATGCATAAAATCCTATAGTATTATACATAATATACATCGGCAGATTGTACATTGGTGAGTTAGTGTGTTAATATTGTTGATATTGACCTTTTATCATGTTTATTAGTCAGATCTGTTATGAATAATAAAACTGCATGTATCCTCATTTGACTCCTTTTCAGTACAGTGTACAATGTCCTGAATTTCTTGTTCAATGTCCTCATTTTGATATCCCATAACAATATTAAGAGAGTGAAGACATTTACTGTGTGAAGTATACTGTACTCTGACAGTCTCAGCAATTAAAAATTCAAATTACCCAAAGTCCAGCTGAAAATTTTAAATCTCCAGTTGAGTTGTGCGTGTTCAACTTAGTCACAAATGTGTGATTATATATATTCTATAATGACCATCCATCAATTGATCAAATGTGGTAAATTAATAGTTAAAAAGCAACATCTTCCTTCCTTGACTATGAAATATTTATAGACTAACTTCATAACATATTTAACTTCGAAACAGGAAAATGGCAAAAGAGCTCTTAGTTTAATTGTGTACACACAAAGATGTTCATTTTAACTTGCATATGAAACTTAACAGGACAAACAGTGTAGGCATAAATTATGAATCTCTATAATTGTCTGAGAGCTCTTAGTATCTGCTCTCTACCTAAAAACTTCAAACCCAAGACAAGTACACTGGGGGTGTTTAAGACTTCTAAAAAAACGTAACAAGTACGTGATATATATATGATATGCATAACATAACACATGCAAGACAGGAAGCATAAATCTGCTAATAAACATCACTGACATCACATAATCCAGGCTTAATCTACTTTGATTCAATGGAAATCTATGCAGAATCCCTAATTACCTTTTTCACAAAACCACACAACGACAGCATTTTGCCTTTTCCTTCACTGGACTAGTGTTCATTTCTCGGACAATTTCTATAAAGATTTCATTCACATTTTGAGTAATTTTAGCTGACGTTTCCAGAAATGGGCATCCCCACATTTGTCCTAGAGTCTCCCCCTCTGAACGTGGTACTTCACGTTGATGCTCCAGATCAGCTTTGTTTCCAACTAATATCATGGGTATATTTTCTATTCCTTTGACACGAATTATTTGTTCTTTCATAGTTTTTATGTCTTGGAACGTTTGAAGACTTGTTATACTGTAAACAATGACAAAGCCTTGTCCATTTTTAATGTACAGATCTCTCATAGACGCGAACTGTTCGGTACCTGCAGTGTCTAAAATTTCTAACACAGACGGAGCAGAATCGACCTCTATCTCCTTTCTGTAAAAATCTTCGATCGTTGGGTCATATTTTTCCATGAAAGTTCCCGATACAAACTTCACTGTTAGAGCACTCTTACCCACACCACCACTTCCAAGAACTACAACTTTATACTCTCGCATGATGATTTTGATTTGGTGTACTCTGAGAAACTGGAGTCGCTAGTCGACAAATAATTTGACGATCAAAAAGTATTTTTTGAATGACTCATCGCAATAACTCCTTCATATTGTAAAAACTGGTCTTTTAGATCACATATATATTTCCTCTGAACTCTTTTTCCTGATATCACAGATGTAATAAAACAAAGAAATTAACTTTACATGTAAGGGATTGGGATAGGCCTCTTTTCACCTTCTCGCCATTTTGGGTGGGCGATAGTGCTTACATACCTTCGAAACTGAAAAGTTCTATCCAAGGGCGAATAACTCTCCAAATATGTTTAATACTTTTTTCCTTCTTGTAAACATGGTAAATTGATAAACTAAAAAGAAGGAAGATATTGTTTCGTTTGATTTATTTTTCCTCCGAAACAGGGGAAGATCCAGGAATTTTAGCGGATGAGGAGGGGGGGGGGGGGGTTGGTTCCAGAAGCAGGGGTCTGGATGATTTTAAGAGTAAAATTTAACCTTATTATTAGCCATAGTTACATCGCCCCATACCAACAAATACACGTTTTAGTATCAATAATTAATTTGTGTAAAATTTCTCACGGATTTTTTTCCTAATCAAACTTAATTGCTCATCATTGAGCTGTGATTTGAGGCCATCTTCTTGTATTTCCTAAATCTGAGCCATACTGTGACCCCCCCCCTCCCCCCCCACCACCACCACCACCTTTCATCGCGCGTGATGACGCCTTTCGTCTCAATAAAAATGTCTTTTACGGTTTTTGTAAATGTGATAATCAATAAATTTGGAGATATTTTGAGGAATTATATTAATGTATGAGCTAAAAAATAAGTGCATGATTTCAGAGTTATAATGACTTTCCTGTGCAAATGAGGAAGACAAAAAATGAGTGACGTGAATTATTTTCAGTATCTTTGAATTTCATAAAATAATGTGAAACTGTTGTATAAAAAAGTTGAATGATGATTATCATTTTAGTCGGACATTTGATATTTATTTCCATCATAATTATATGATATGTATCTTATTAATGTTGTAAAAAAATCATTCAAAGTATATAAACCGCTTTCTGATATACATATTTACAACTACAGCTGCAGAACTCGACAGAAAAATAAAATTGGTTAGCAGATCTTAAAGCTAAACATGCAAATTGAAAATGTGCGCTACTTTTGGATTTATTTTCCTCAAGCAGCCTATGTCATGGTATTTTATATAAAAAATTCACACATTTCACTACTGATGTTGTCACTTTCTTTTCCTAAGAAATTCAGAAAAAATGCATTAAATTCTTGCAGACCCATGATTTTTAACTGTTAAAACAAAATCGATCTTCTTCACTTTCCGAGGTTCGTGAAGGCGTTTAAAAGAATTTCTGATCTGAGAAGGTAAAGTGTCATCTTTAGTAGGGAAAGGACTTAGAATTTTTGGTATCAAGAAACCGATGGCAGGACTGTATCGTGAAAATAGACGATTAAGAAAATCATATCTCCTGAATATTGATGCTTATAGGTGTAGTTTTATTGATCACAAAGGTTCACAGGTGCAGAACCGTGATTTTTTTTTCCGGGGGGGGGGGGGGGATCCATCCCAGTAAAAAAAATCCAACCCAGAAATTTCTTGATAAGCAAAAAGAAAAAAAAAAAGAAAAAACAACCGTTACCTCCTTTCGCAAGAAATTTCTTGCTATTTCTTAAAAAGGTGTCCACGTTTTCTAGAGGGTCCAAAATCAGTTTTTATTTCCTTCAATGTATACATATACTAACTCTGCAAATTCCGGGGGGTGGGTGGGGGTCCTGATCTCCCTCTAGATCCGCGCATGGTTCAAATTACGTGCAAAATCATTCCACATGCGCGGATCTAAGAGGAGGGGTCTGGGGTCCGGAACCCCCCCCCCCCCCAGAATTTGCAGTAAAATACTGAAGCAAATAGAAAATGACTTTGGACCCCCCTAGAAAACGTGGACCCCACCATCACCACCACGGGATAGTTGTTTTTCACGTTTGGAAAATAGATTTTACGTTTGTTTTTTGTTTTTTTGTTGTTGTTTTTTTTTTTAGTGGGATGGACCCATCCCCCCCTGGAAAAAAAAAATCCGGGATCCGCTCCTGTTCCACAGCACTTTTTTTTTTTTACAGCAAAACTACACATCACAATGCTTTAATATTTGTGTGATAGACAAATTAGTGTCTGTGTGGTTTTTTTTTTTTTTTTTTTTTTTTTTTTTTTTTTTTTTTTTTTTTTTTTTTGTTTGTTTCAATGTTTGATTGATGATTGTTTGGCCAAAAGACCATTGATAACTAATAGTGTGCACTAAGTAGTAAGTTTACAGAAATTTAGATCACTTTATATTCATCATATAGTGGTGAATGAGTGGTGTACGTGTAGTGGATAGATCACCACTCGAAACGTAAGTTTACTCAATGTGTGTGTGTGTGTGCAGACGAGCCGTCGGAGATTTTCGGAGACAACCGAGAACGAGAACTTTGTGAACTCTTCTGTGTGGAGGTGAGATTCTCTGTCACCGAGATTTCCGGTCTGTCGGTGCGAGGACTGTGTAACTGTCTGGGCGCAGATTGTTTTATAGATCAGAATGGTTGTAGAATGTGTGCACTTGGAGGCTGATGTCTATATGGTTTGTTTAACACATGCATTATCAACGGAAAGAGAAGAAGTAATGGGATTACTCATAGGGGAGGTAATATTACTAAATGGCGCAGTGACCCAGTTTCTCTCTCAGCTGATCAGCTGGAAGCCGGTCATGCGTGGAAAATATATACATTAATTAAGCAGAAAAGCGTCTAAATACGTACAACTTCAGCAAAATATTGTGCATATATTTTTTAAACATATGTAATTTAATAAATAAAACATTACCTTTCAACAAGTTCGACAGGTATCATGTTAAAACATGAAGTTGATATAGGGAAAAAAGTTATGTTTCATGTTATTGTTAAGAAAGTTTTTTTCTGCAATGTGTTTTATTTCTTTTAGGTTGATGAGAATCGTACCCTTCACATATACTCTGTGATCATGTTAAGAAGATCTGACAAGCAACCAGACAGAGTAGAAATCTCCCCTGAGCAACTCTCAGATGCCTCAAGCAAAGCAGAGGTAATTCTACAGCCAATTCTTATCCTTCAGAAAAAGACAGGTCATTCTTTGGTCAAAAGAGGGTCATGAGCAGGGTGATAACTTCTTGTGTTTTTTTCCTGAGAATTTTTATGAGAAAAAGATATATACATTAATTTTATATAATGGGACAGTAATCTACATGAAGATGCAGGTGAATCTGATACATCTTGCAACAACTTGCAACCAGCAGTTATTTGCTGAAAGCTATTTCACCCTATTAAGTATAAAGGTATTTAAGGTATTTAAATTTATGCTCTTGTAGGTGCATTACTTGTATAGTTAGTCAGCAAGTCAGCATAAATCTGCATGCATATGAAAAAAAAAAATATAACAAAAAGGAATTTTAACAAATACTGTATTCATCCAAGGAAACACTTGGGATTTGAAATATAAAAAAGGCAGCAGATCCATCTTTTATAACTCAGTTTCCTGGGGGTGTAAATTTAGAACACATTGAACACTTGCCATGTTTAATTTGATTTAGAAATGAAAATCTACAGTTAGATTTGTATTGTATTAAAAAAAAAAAGATACAGTGATATATCAATCATGTGTTTAAGCAATACGTGTATCATATCATCATTCCAGATTCGTGATACAGAAAGTAGTTTCTATAACTTAATAATACCTTGAAAAACAAAATGGCATCCAAAAGCATGGTGGCTAAAGAAACTTTAGAAATTCATCTTGAGATAAAGACATATTGAAATTAGAAACTCATTTATTTCCACAGCTACCATCAGGTTATCAAAGTTTAACAATATTAAAGTGTTTTTTTAATCATGTATGCTATGTTTTTTTTCATTCTGTAAAATGATTTTTTTCTTTATTACATTGTACGTAGAATTGTATTGTGAAACTACTGAAACATACTTATATTGTGTGTCAGTATCTAGATATGTATTGTATTGCAAAGTCGTCCATGTTGCGTTATTGTTGACAGAGACTAGCCCAGCAGTACAGCAAGCCTTTGAGAGTTTTAGGGTGGTACCATTCTCATCCCCACATCACTGTCTGGCCGTCACATGTTGGTAAGTACACAGCATATCATAAAAAATGAAAATCCAGAGATGCTGTACTCATCTGTAATAAATCAAAGTAAGGCAAGAAAATAAAAAATGCCATTTAACCCATATATCAGACATTAACTAATAAAACAAATTTAAACATTTCACCGATCTCTGTGGTTAAATAATTTTTTTTCACTTGCACATTGTTTCTGATACCACTACCATTTTCTGTCCTTTGATTCTTCTATTTTTACACATCTATACCAAATGTATACTTGTAGATGTGAGAACTCAGGCCATGTATCAGATGATGGATGAAGGTTTTATTGGACTAATATTTTCTGTCTTCAATGAAGACAAATCTACTAAGGTTAGTTATACAGGAAAAATGAGCCTCTGCTAAAAGAGTAATAGTTACAGTCAAACCACAATACTTATATTTGCTGTGTTTTTCTAGTAACCCAAGTGAAATTGATTTGAATGCCATTTTTGTGTATACTAACGTGTAGAAATATGCATGGAGGAACTGGCGCTAAAGTGACGTCACAATGAGGCTAGAGAGTAGAGAGATGTTAATAAAAATATATCGATACAGGGCAGTGAGAAATTCAAAAATTGAGTATATTTTTGGTGCTTTTAAACATGTAAAATGTAAATATAAGGATTGTTTTTAAGTTTAGTGTGAATTTTGGTGTGTAAATCACACAGACTTGCACTTAGGCATATTTTTCATGAAATATGCCTACGTGACAAGTCTGTGTGATTTACACACCAATAACTCACACAAAACTTTAAAAAAATCCTTAATTATCTCAAACTTGATGGTACCTAGAAAAATAACTTTGAGATATCCAAGGGTTTCAGATATTGAGGTTAAAATATGTTGATAACAAGTTATTGGGACTTCCAACTCACTTCAACTCACCTATGTTATTCAAGATATCACCTTAAGATCAGTTTTCAAAATACAAAAGGTCAACTGTATATCATCTTTAACAATGATTTTTCTCAGATTTTGCCCTGGTAAGTTCAAAGCCATCCATAGTATAGTATGTTATGTGCTCTTTGATCTGTTTCTGTTTCCCCAAGACCCCAACACATTCATATTCCACATCAGCAAGAGTTTTTATCAGCCAGTGAGAGTGGTCAGTAGAGTGCTCTCTATATTACTGATCACCTGCTATATATCGAGCATATCAGAGAGGCAGGGCCAGTCTAGACTTCTAAATCTTTTGTGACTTGGAGGATATTCACATTATTTGCATATACATTTATAAAGTTTTCATGAATGAAAGATCATTTGCATATACATTTGATTATGATATTTATATATCAATATTTACATTTGCAAATGTTTTTCCTTATATAACATTAATTGAACAAGGAGTATTTAATTTTGTGTATAAACAGGTTCGTCATGACCATAAATTCATCATTTAGTGATAAATGATGGATGTAATTTCATAGTTCGACGTGTTCAACACATTTAATTTGTACTATTGAGGTTTGAAAAAAATAAATCATTTAACTCATGACTTTAAAAATAGTACCCAAATATTTGTTAAAAATCAGTCACAACTGTAAATATAAGAAATAAGGTAATTTACCTAACAAATAAGGTAACTTTATGGCCCTTCTAGTTTTATGGGATTTGATCACATGACCAACCCATATTTACATCCCAATATTATTTTTAATTAACTTGTGTTTAAAGAATAAACAAATGATGGCAAGCCAAAAATGTTATAAGGTCTACTTGACAAACAAATTGACTCAAAAAAAAAGTTATACAAGTAGATGATGTATATTGCGTTTGTTGTCCATGAGTGGAGATGAAAGATGAAAAAATGAGTTATGAAAAGATTTAATATCAAAGCAGGTCCAAAAATCATCCAATAAGTAATATATGATTGCATTATAATTATAATGGTGAGGTACTCCTGGATTATTTCAGTGATGTTATTTTTTCACAGAGTTACAGACATCAGCTGACATGTTTCCAGTCCGTAAATCAGGCCAGGGAAGGCTATCCTCCACAGTAAGATAAATTTCAATCTCCAGTTTAACTTCTAGTTTCATTGCAATGTAGCATTGAAAACAAGCCCTTCAAATATTTTGATTGAAAAAAAGATCACAACTGGTAGGGAGAAAAAGAGGGGGGGGGCAATTTATGTTTATAATGATTTAATCTTTTTTAAAAATATTTTTGGATATAATTTTTAAAAAGTATACTGTTGTTTGAATTACTTCCCTTGCTTTGCTTTCCTAGAAGTGGACAAAATTGGAGGGGGGGGGGGGGGGGGGGGATGTAACTTGTATTTGCCCACTTGAGGGTTTTGTGTTCAAAGTTTGTTCATTGTCTCGTTTCATCTCTTGTGTTCAGATGTTCTGATTGAAAAGTGAATTCTAATGGTCCCTTGATTCAGATGTTCTGATTGAAAAGTGAATTCTTATGGTCTCTTGATCCAGATGTTCTGATTGAAAAGTGAATTCTTATGGTCTCTTGATCGAGATGTTCTGATTGAAAAGTGAATTCTTATGGTCCCTTGATCCAGATGTTCTGATTGAAAATTGAATTCTTATGGTCTCTTGATATGAGAGGGAAGAGGTAGAGCCATTTGGCAAAATTATGAAGACTTGTGTGTAGCATATGTCCATATTTCTTCTAAGGCCAAACAAAAAAATATGTGTGGTTCCGATTACACTTCTAAAAAAATTAGGGTAGGTAGGTAGGGATTTTTTTTTTTTTTTTTTTTTTTTACAAAACGATTTTTATAATTTTTCTAAATAATACCTATCACTGCTTTTTAAGTGGCATTTAGATGTGGCGTGATAATATACTAGTCAACATTGGTAGGTGACACCTACATGCTAGCTTGCTTTGGATTTAACACTATTAAAACTTGCACTATATGTTGAAATGATGTTTTACAAGGAGGCCGCCATTGCTGAAACTAAAACTAATACTGGAGCCAATGATGGAAATCGGGGAAAATTCTGGAAAAATTATGAAAATTGCCGGAAAAAAAGGGGGTATAAAATAGGGACGGTCGGGTAACCAGAACCACACATATTTTTTTATTTGGCCTAATCATGGTCCACAAGGTTAGGATGAGGCACAGGAGAGGGTCAAAGATTGACTTTGGAATATATAGGAAAAATTGTCTTTTATGGAACAACAAATAAATGTATACAATTCATAAAATTATTGAAATTAATGTATAACCATTCTCAAATTATGTAAATTTAAGTTTGTGCAAATTATGGTTCCACTGTTAGAATGGCAACATATTAGCTTTTCTGAGGTTGAGCTCTACCGGTTAGATACCAGAAAGCTTGTGCATGAGTAAGGTGTTTGCTGTCTGTCTAGCTGTTTATCTCTCCATCATTCTTCACAGTGCTACTCCTCCTACAGTTTAGGTCCTATTTCAAAAAGACTAAGGAAACAAGTACGCTATACTAGGATACACAATTCTGTTTATCACTCAGTGATTGATTTAAATAAACAGTGTAACCATGGTAACTGAAAATAGAATTTTCTGTGATATTCTTTCAAAATGCAACTCCTCCTACAGTTTTAGTCCAAATTTCAATAAGACTTGGTACATAAGTAGAATATACAAAGATACATATTTTTCTTTATTGGTTTTCATTTCGATAAAAAGTGTTGCCATGATACAACTTGCCTGAAAATAGAAATATCTGTGAAATTCTTTAAAAACGCTACTCCTCCTGCATTTTTTGTCCATTTTCAATATGACTTGGTACACAAGTAGACTACCCTAAGTTTCATAATTCTGTATATTTGGTAATGATTTTTAAGAATGGAGGGCATTTGAAGAATGGAGGGCTTATTGCTTTACTGCCGTCTGTCGGTCAGTCTGTCTAGCTGTCTGTCTGTCTGTCTGTCGGTCCACCAACAGTTTCCGTTCATTTTCTTCTCAGAAAGTGGACTTACTGAAATGAAATTTGGTATACAGATTTATCATAAAAATATCTAGGTCAAGTTCTGTTTTGGGTACAATTGAGCAATTTTTGACAGAGTTATGCCCCATGGACTTTGAAAAATTCCAATTATTTGCAGTTTCCATTCATTTTCTTTGCAGAGGTTGCACATACTGGAATGAAATTTAGTATACAGATTTATCATAAGAATATCTTAAACAAGTTCTGTTTTGGGTATGATTGAGCAATTTTTGACAGAGTTACGCCCCTTGGACATAGGAAAATTCCAATTATTTGCAGTTTCCTTTCATTTTCTTTGCAGAGGTTGCACATACTGAAATGAAATTTGGTATAAAGATTAATCATAAAAATATCTAGATCAAGTTCTGTTTTGGGTACGATTTTGACAGAGTTATGCCCCTTGGACTTAGGAAAATTCCAATTATTTGCCGTTTCCGTTCATTTTCTTTGCAGAGGTTGCACATACTATTCGGTACACAAGTAGACTACTCTAAGATACAAAATTCTGTTTAATTGTTTTTGATTTTCAAAAATGGTGTTGCCATGGTTACTAAAAATAGAAATTTCTGTGAAATACTTTGAAAATGCTACTTTTCCTAAAGTTTTGTCTTAGTTTGGCAATATTTACCAGTAATATGATAATAATGGAATTCATTTAAAAGTTAAAATGTTACTTCTCCTATGTTTTTAGCTCTACTGGTCAGAGACCAGAAAAGCTCATGCGATAGTCAGTAAGGTGTCAGTCCATCTGTCTAGCAGTCCGTCCGTCTGTAAACAATTTTTCAAAAAGCTTCTCCTCCTACAGTTTTAGTCTGATTTCAATATAACTTGGCACACAACATCATTATACCAAGGAGCTAACAACTTTCCATTTGAGTTCATCTCAGATTGACTTTTTACATAAATATAAAATTCAATGAAACTTGTACTGGTAAATGATATGAAAGATTTGTGAATGAGAATCATTCTCACACAGTTGTTACATGTAGCATCCTGAATGGCCAATTCAGTAAGTTGCAGATTAACATTAAATCGAAATCAACACAACGGCATGCAAAACTGTCATTAGAGGATTATGGCATTACTGTTAACTTGATTCAATCATTACATAATATCCCAGGTGGTTGGCCTAATGTGTTGTAACGGTTGCACACAGTTTAGAAAGTGATGCATTGATTGACTAGATTTTCTGAGTCATAGCCTTCATGTTGTCTTGAAAGGGAGCTCCATTTTATGAACATGTAGGTACATCAAGATCAGCAAGGCAGTGAATTGTTTAAATGATATGATGATGATAACATCAATGTGTGTCCTGTAGACCAAATGTGTGGAAAGAACAAAAGCCTATGAATAAGTGTCCAGAGTCTTTGTATATTCACTTATCTGTTTCTCAGAAAGAGAAATATCACTCAGGTGGGTGTGTTGGCCCTCAGGCCTCTTGTTGTAACCTCTTTTAAGTAAATCACAGAAAATTTTTTTTCTCTATTTTTATTTAAAAGTTGCATCTAAAGTACAATTTCTTTTTGGAAAGAATTATATAAGATAAAAGCACATTTTTGCCCCCATAAAGCCAGAATTTGAAAGTCTCTTGAACTAATACACAGTTGTATTATAGTTTGGAAGTAGATTATCAACAATTCTTGTTTCTTCTTGATGTCATATCTAACATATGGCATCATGGCTGATGAAAATAGGTAGTTCTTTCAAGTATGCGGATATTCCTCTGGTTTAGAACATAATTATAGACTTCTTCATCAAAGTTTGATTTTGTTGGCAGATGTTAGTATTTACAGAATATAGTCCTTTGTTAATGACAAACAACCTTGAAATTTTAGGTATGCAAGAGTTGAAGTCCCCCTCCACATTGTCCCAAGCTCTGGGCTGGGAAAAGCTTGTTTGGAATCTCTCATAGAACTTCCCAAGATCCTTTGTCAGGAGGAGGAAGAAGAGTACAAAAAGGCTGAGGCCGACCAGGACTTAGATCTGATCACTAAACTCAAAAACTCCTCAGGTCAGTAAAATATATAGCAAACCAGGACCTAGATCTGATCACCAAACTCAAAAACTCCTCAGGTCAGTAAAATATACAGCAAACCAGGACCTAGATCTTATCATCAAACTCAAAAACTCCTCAGGTCAGTAAAATATACAGCAAACCAGGACCTAGATCTGATCACCAAACTCAAAAACTCCTCAGGTCAGTAAAATATACAGCAAACCAGGACCTAGATCTGATCACTAAACTCAAAAACTCCTCAGGTCAGTAAAATATACAGCAAACCAGGACCTAGATCTTATCATCAAACTCAAAAACTCCTCAGGTCAGTAAAATATACAGCAAACCAGGACCTAGATCTGATCACCAAACTCAAAACTCCTCATGTCAGTAAAATATACAGCAAACCAGGACCTAGATCTGATCACCAAACTCAAAACTCCTCATGTCAGTAAAATATACAGCAAACTAGGACCTACACATAGATCTAATCACTAAGCTCAAAAACTCCTCAGGTCAGTAAAATATATAGCAAACCAGGACCTAGATCTGATCACCAAACTCAAAAACTCTTCAGGTCATTAAGAAAATACAGCAGACCTGGACCCAGGTCTGATCACCAAACTCAAAAACTCCTCAGGTCAGTAAAATATACAGCAGACCAGGACCTAGATCTGATATTTATTCAACCCTTCCGACAGGGTAGCCCCTAGTTGGTCGAGATTAGCAGGGCTATACCGACGCCTTCAAACCCTAGCGTCCAGTTAGTCCCACACATTTTCGATTGGGAAAAAAAGATAGAATTTACCGATGCTAGTTGATTGTGTAAATGTGAATATGTACGAAAAAGTCTTGACAAACTCGGGACACATTTTCCTGTGGGTGAACATGCTGAATAATTAGGCTTACGACGCACATGTGCGCGAGTGAGAGTATCACGTAAAGTTAACGAACTCACGGAATAGATTTCTTTCAGTTTTAGAGTTAATGTAATGCTTATGATTTGTTACTGTATAAGTATCTGTTTCAGTGGTAATACCGTAGTGATTACATAGGTGGCAGGATGAAAAGCCACATCTTCATATGACGTTGTTACTCGCCAGCGTCACCATCATGGTTGGTTAAAAACCTTTCCTGTTTCTATCTGACAGGGAATAAAATGTTCCTTGGTGGAAAATTAATATCAAACTGCACAGCAACATGTTGTTGCTCTTTTCTTCACTTAGGCAATTCAAATACCAGAGTGAGACCCAGTGGAACTTCCGTTAGCCGTACCATGATTACGAGAAATTCATATCGACTGTAAATATCGAAAAACAATGTGTATACCTTCAGTGCATCAAGTAGTACTAAAAAATCTCTTAACAGCCCTAAAATCATCAATATGCACATGTTTTTGGCTTTTAACACTTTTCCTACGTGACGTCATACATTTCACGGTTGAGTAATTTTGAAAACCAATTTTAGTGCACAGTAACCAAAACAGACCTCTGGTCAATTTTCATAATTTTCGGCCACTCAGTCAAAAATATTGCGCGTATTATGTTACCCTGCGTTTCTTTTTCCTTTCGGTTTAGTCGCCCGCGTGGCGCAGTGGTAGAGCGTCTGCTCTAGGGTCTCGGAGTAAGGTGTTAATCCTTACGTCGCGGGTTCGAATCCCACTGTGGGAAGTGGAGACCGGTCCTTCGGATGAGACCGTATAAACCGAGGTCCCGTGTCTCAGTATATGCTGGCACAAAAAAGATCCCTCACTGCTCAATAGCCCTGAGTGCCGAGTAAATTTGCAGCTCTCCACCGGCAAGTGGTGGCGTCTCCATATGAGTGAAAAATTCTCGAGAGGGACGTTTAACAGCACACAAACAAATCCTTTCAGTATATATATTCTCATAGTTTTAGTTTTGTCTTTGGAGTTGTCTCTCTTTTGCCTCTAACGGTTAAAACTCAAAATTCTGACAATTTTTTTCCTTGTAGTTTTTACAAATTCACTGTGCCATATCATGGAAGTAATGCATGGACCATTAATTCAGTCTTTGGAAAGCCGTTTAGAACAGAACAACGCAAAGATCGCAGAGCTAGAAAAGAGAGAAGCGGAAATCCAGAGACTCCTTGACAGCAGCTAGTTATTTTACAATTGTTGTTTAAAAGTTATTTGTTATAAATGTGAGATTTATATGCCCGTGTTTCTTGTAAATAATAAAATGTATGTTATGATCATTTTATTACATTTGATTTAGATCTTTTGGTGGAGAAATTTCCACTGTATTTTACCTTAAAATCACTTGAATAGCTCAAACACGAGGTAGATCAGTTTACTTGTCAAAATACAAAGTCGTGAAGCAAAATGATACTGAATAATATCAGCTTGTGATTTGTTTTACTTCACAAGAGAATACGGATGCACTGATATGTCTCTACATATACAGAAGATAGAGTTTTTTTTTACCCTATTCTTTGAATTGTTTTTGTAATGACAGCTCCATGATGAATTTGGAGAAAAAGAGCCATGCTTCTATGACACATATGGAATAATTAAATCGGTAGCATTCAGGATCTTTTTCCCCAATAATTTTGCCAGACTTAGCATATACTTTACAGTAAAAGACAAGTTATGCCCCCTCCCCATAGGCACTCCCCAGCTTAATTGTTAAAAAATATATATCTACTTATAGTATAGTAGATATATATTTTTTAACAATTAAGCTGGGGAGTGCCTATGCCCCTCCCCAATAGTTTTGCCAGTATATACTATACATAATCAATGGTTGTGCCGTCTGATAATGACTGCGTATCAAGACAATTCTGTAAGCCCAACTCCCAAACTGAAATTTCTTCCTACGCACAAGACATTTATCCCTTTGAAACAATTTTGAAAGAGAGACTAATTAAATAAAATTCTTAGTGACAAAATCAAACCCAGGCGCGGATCCAGGGATTTTTTAAAAAGATATCAGACTCGGAAAGATTTTGGAAAAAAACCCCCACAAATTTCAACTTCCCCAAACTTGAAAAAACTATGGGGTTAGGAGAAAACACTATCCTAAGTCAATTTTCTTCAGGTACACGCTTTTTACCATCCTAGAGAGGGTCCAAGGTAATTTTTTCGTTACTTTTTCAAAGAAATTTCGTTACTTTTACAAAGAAATTTTTAATCTATTCTACTCTTATAATATCTGAAGTATATCTTTGAAATAATTATGAGTTAAGGACATACGCAACGTACCTTACCTACTGATAATTTTTCAAGATATTCTTAATTTAAGATTATAGTGCCATCAGATGTTCGTAGACAAAAAATCAGCATCGTTACCAGGGGTTTTGAAAAGATATCAAATGATGAAAATTTTTGTATAAAGAAAAATTTACAAAAATTACTAAACATATATGCTAGATGTTTTGTTTATCCAGACTTGTTCTAGAAGAAGTGCGCAACAGCATATATAGACAATAAAATGTAGCACACAGTTCCCTTAAGTATTGGAACTCTTCAACTCCAGGGAAAAAGACATAGGCACTCCCCAGCTTAATTGTTAAAAAATATATATCTACTATACTATAAACGTTATGTTTATAGTATAGTAGATATATATTTTTTAACAATTAAGCTGGGGAGTGCCTATGGAAAAAGACTATAAAGTTCAAACTACGTTGCGTGTGTCCTTAAGAAACCCCCGATCTTTAATTGGCATTCGGATGAACGGCTGAAAATTGTTTATAGTCTCCGTGAATAAAGACAGGGGTTCTACGAACTTGCTGACCTAAAATGCTTTTTCATTTCATCTGGTGTGTGTTTAAGGAAGCTCTAAAAACTGCACACTAAACTTAAAGGGTTCCATAATCGTAGCGTTGGGTAGTTGTATGCAGTTAGAGTGATCTGCCCTTAGATGTAAGCTAAAGTATTATATACATTTTACCGACGTAAGTAAATATCAGCGATTTCTGTTCACTAAAACTTCATTTTTCATGGGAAATATGACAGGTACCTTAATCATGTTGAAATTAACTGGATAAACTTAAAATGTTTAGGTGATATACTAGTAGTTTTTATAAAGCCCAAAAACATTTTTCATAATTTTTTTTTTTTTTTTTTTTTTTTTTTTTTTTGTAAGAACTCAACAAAAAAGTTAAGCATCTTTTGTAATAGATGTACATTTAGAATATCATACAGTTGTGAATAATTGATATAACATAAGAAAGAAGATAAGCTAATTAGTTCACTATTAGAATAAGGCTGAATTCATGTTTCCGGCGCTCTCGTGTATATCTATAAAAGGAATAAATGGAATTTATTGATTCCTAGATCAATTTATTTTCTGCAACAAACTTGTCGCCAACGGCACTAATAAGAACATATCAAACGACGGCCATGTTACACAGGCGCAGCGTTGGAATTCGAATTTTGAAGGCAAAATTATTATGCTAATGTTCTGACAAGTAGCTATCAAACTTTTTAACGGGAAAATTATTAAAAATTCTAATCGTACATAAACATTTGAAATCAGCATAACTTTCCCAGTCGTATTTTTTATAACACAAAGCAAAAAAAGCTGGAAAATATTTATATTGTATTCAACAAATATAATACTAGTACATGCCAATGCATGAAAACAGACTGACACCAAGCAGATCGATGCAGTATTCATTAACACAGAAAAGTAAAAGTGCATACATAGAGATTAATAATCATATATTTTCATAGTTTCTTTTATGCAATGAGTCCTTGTACCGGTATGCGCTTAACACTTGCACTTCCATGATCCTATGCATATCTCTTTATAACTTACGTATATCATTTTCTTACATGTAGACAAAAAAATCATAAGATGTGAATACTATTACAGTCCTGATAACCAGTGGTCACATACAAGAGGGAAAATTGAGAAAATTATTCCTATAATTATATATCACAGTTTTCATTCACTTGCAGCCGCAAAAGCAGCGCCATATTTGTTAAATTGGTTATTCACTAGGGGTTTGGTGCTCCTCTCATAAGGGGGATAAATGTCTCTCATGCCATGGTTGGAGTATTTCCACGGATTATGCTTAGGAAATGGTTCCTGTGATACGGCTAACACGTGAGTTGGCGTTCTGTACGGAACATCCGGGGACTTATGCCAATCAGTTGTGGATGTTTGTAATTTAATACTTCCGGTTTCCGGAGCTCTGTACTTCCGGGCAAATCGCCGGTGAGCTGGCGGATTTTCGGTGGGTTGGCCGAGGTATGATACCCTATAGTTTGTGTTTAAATCAGCGTCCACGGGGTTTCTGGAATGGTGCTTTAAAAACGTCTTCTCTGTGTGATGTAGACGAAGTTCGGGCAGGGTTATTTTACGACCCAGTGTTCTTTCATCCTTCCCCTTTGAAATAAAACACCAAATATTTGAAAATCGTAGAATGCACATTGCAGTGCAATTGTTACAAAAAGGAGTCTTTATTGTCATTCCGAAGCATCTTTTCATTTTAAAAAAAAAGGCTTAAATACTGGTACATGTATTATGAATATATTCTGTACTGAATATATCGTTTCAATAGTAACTAAAACAAATGTATTGAATATATACAGAAATGTTCTAATTCTAACATAAAGCCGGACAAAAATGCTTGTTTAAAAGTATAAGATGTAAAACAAATGTTATTTTAGAAACTTGAATGGCCACATAAAAAATTCACAACTCTAACAAAACCTCACAATTTGTAAATAGTTAAATGTCTTGACAATACAACGAGAGATAATCTTTATGACGATTTTATTTTCTCGTATAACTGAATCAGTCGCCTTTATTACTCCACGATTGTTTTTCAACCTTTGAAATGGTTCACTGAATAAAAATAATGCATCAACAAGTTTAAAATTTCATTCTGATATAAACATTGAGTCCTGTTGCATGATCTGGGGGTATGAACGATTTCAATGAACCAATCATTTTAATGAGATCAATGAAAATTGATTGTTTTTCTGTATTATGTTTACTTTCTTCAACGATTTTTTTCTCGTATTTAGGTACTTACATTGCCAAAATAGACGCCATGATCTTGAAATGCGTGTCTATTATTGTGTTCTGAAAATTTGTTTGCAGTCTTGTAGTTTATCTGAAAAAAAAATAGAAAACGTAAAAGTATGCTAGTAAATTGGCTAATTGCAAAAAAAAATTTAAATGCATATACTTCATAAACTTTAATAACATGTTTACTTCATTAATCCCTGGCAAACCAAAGTCTTCATAGTCTTTTTGATAATACGGTCGCTTACTCCAAAAATAAGCCATGATTTGGTCACAAATGCCTTATCACATTTAAGTCACATTAAAAAAAAAAAAAACTTTTATAATTCCAAATGAATTATTTCCTTTCAATCAGCACATTTTCACAACTGCTCTCTCGCATGGCAAAGTTCCTTGTCTTACTGTTACTAAGCATGTTAAAGAGATACTTCAACTGTGCAGACTTTAAATATTCAGAACTTGATTAAACCGTGACGTTGCGTCCTTTGAAAGAAATCGCAATCAATTGGAGGGATATGTGGTATCAGTCTTAGTAGGTATTTTTCACTGAAATGAGTGACATGTGTAGGTTTTGGCCCACAATTTCCCCCTTATCAGATTGTTTGGGGATAAAGAAAATCTCAATTGCTTCGATACGGGTACTCTAAGTCTGTATTTTTTAGATAAACTACCAGAGGTTTATATTTATATAAGTTACACTAGTACGACGGCTTTTATATAAACTTGGATTTCCAGAGATTCTCAAATGCACAACTGTGCACGTTTATTTTGCCTTAAGTCTTTCCTGGATTAGAGCACTAAATTAGAGCACAAGTTCCTAAAATTACAGTGTAGCCTAGATTTTCTTTGATTTCAAAAATGAAAATAATCTTTAATTACCATTGAAAATTGTTATATATATATATATATATATATATATATATATATATATATATATATATATATATATATATATATATATATATATATATATATATATATATATATATATATATATAAATTCTTTAAGTTTTTATCAATTATTAATAACCTTTGAGATAATATTAATATATTATCTTTAGACAAATTACAGTAGAAAATTCTGAAAATGAAAAGTTTTCAGTTATTGGATTTTCTATGCACATTTATGCCAGGATGTGCACTAGTTTGCATCTAAATCTTTTGTTGCTTGATAGTATTGATAATTTAATGTTATACCGAGTCTAGTATAAAGTTCATCTTTATATAGTTAACAAGTTTTATAGATTACTTGCATTGATTAATTTCAGTAGATAATTTGTATCTTTAAATTCTATATTCTATGCACTGGCTGTAACCCACTATCAAACTTTCAAAATATGACGGATGAAGAAATGCATATGTTTGACATCACAATAATATTGAACTGAAGTGATTTTCAAATGCGCTTTGCATTTTTAATACGTATATTTACATTTTAATAAAATTTTTAATGTATTTGAGTATACCAGTTAAATGACGACTATTGTTAACAGACAACGTCTGAATGTTGTCAATTTAATGAATCTCAAAAAGCGTGAATGACAGATCCCCACAATGTTATCAGAAATTCATGCCATAAAGCCTTAATAGAATTGATTTAACAGTATATTTTGTTGCGACCTTCTATGAAAAGGGTTCATGGTCAATCTTCACCCCCCCCCCCCCCCCTCGAAAAAAAAAACCCGAACACACACACATACACACACACACTCAAAAATAACATTAAAACATTTATCACACAGACAGCAAAATTCATGTAATCATCTTAGAAGATTTTTTTCCATTATTTTTTTTCTTCATGAATTCAAGATCTAAGATTTTATTTGATAAAGACAAAGGCTAAATTTACTCAAAATCTATGAGAATAAGCAGTTTCCCGTGGTGTGCCTCAGAAACTACATGCATAGCATACAGAATAAGAAATCCTCAAGAAGTTCACAAGTCATTACACAGAAGTTTTGGATCATTTTAATTCAACTGAAGAAACTGGAGTATAAAAAAAATATACCCCCCCCTTTTCCAGTTTTCTCAGTGGTCATTATAAATATATGACCCGGCTCTTCATTCATTTTAGACCGTAATAGATTGTTTTCTTACTCAATTTTTTTTCATATTTTAAATGAAAATTTAAACAAAATTCTCATTTTCTTAATTACTAAATAATTTACATCTATATATATCAACAATTTATATTGTATAACTATAAAGTCAGATTAATACTTGCTGTATAAGCATCGTGTAACAGGAATGATTTTTGATTATTTTCAAGTATATGCCAGTATAGTAAAATTCTTTATACTTTTTTTCTGACACCCATTAGATGTTTACAAAAAATAATATTCTAGTTTCTACATCCCAATCTTTGAAAATATCGCTGTCTTTTATCTGCAAACATCTCTTATTAGATTATGAAGATTCCAAAATATGTGCGATTTTCCAGTTACATGAAATCCCCCCTCCAAAAAAAAAATACATTGAACAATGATTTACCCCCTTCTCCAACCAGTTCTTAATTTTAAATGCGATCGAGGGGAAAACAGATACACTAGTGAGGATGTAAAAGCTGAAGATAACGAACATTGATCAATCTCATAAATCCAGAAAACAAAACGAATCATGAACAGGGCAGAAACATGGACCCCTGAAAATAACAGAGGTGGGATCAGGTACCTAGGAGAAATAAGCATCCCCTGTCGACCGGCCACACCCGCCGTGAGCCCTATGAGGACCGAAAAAACAACATAATAGTTCGTGATCGCCCTACATAGGTCTTTATTTATTTATTCATTCATTCATTTATTCTGCTTATAAGGCAAAACCCGCACAAAATACAAGTACGTCTTCTTATTCATCGAGGAGGGGGAAAACAGTTTGACTGATTAATTTCACATGCACGTTTTAGAGATTTTATCTTAGCAACCAATTTTTACTTCCGGAATTTGGCACTTGATAAAATAAAACTTTAATATCGCTCAATATCCACACATTGGATTTATGGATCCAATAGATTTTGTATGCGCAATAATGTAGAATATTTTATTTGATTATGATACACCGTAGTTTTATTACACAACATCCATGCTATGATAATATAACGACTAACTCACTGCTTTTGTTGCAAAATGAATATTGATTTTGCAATGAGTAAATTCGTCGTAATATCAGAAAAAAGACTGAAATAATAACTCTAGGTATGTTCATTACTATTTAATCTGTGCCCCCATGATAAGAGCTCAAATATTTGTCTTTGTGTATCAACACATTAAATCCTGTAAAATTCGATGGTATTAGAGGTATCTAGTTTTAACAGCTCTTTAACATCAAGTGCAGTCACTGCAATGTATATCGGTTTGATGACATTTCTTTCTAGTTTAGAATCGGAAAATCTACACCCTCAGATTTTAATAGTTGTTGCTTGGCTATTCCAGGCAGGAGAGAGAGAGAGATTTTGGGGTTGGCAGTGATTAAAGTAATATGGTATCTGTTTCCTGGTTGCCTTCCGCCAACCTTTTTGTTTTCAAGCATCGTATCCATGAAAAGATTTAAAGAATTGGTGCTGATTACTTTAATGAAGAAAAACATTAAAGGTTAAGAAAAGACTAGAACCCTGAAAGGATGCTGCTTGCCATCGATGTATTGTCTCTTGTAACTCATTTACCTCCAACCACAGGAGTTCGCAATTTTATCAATAAAGTCAATAAAAATCACTCGATTGACCAAGCCATGAGCTATGCGTTAGCATAGCGAACAGTTCGCTATGCTAACGCATAGATCATGGCTTGGTCAATCAAGTGATTTTTATTGACTTTATTGATAAAATTGCGAACTCCTATGCTCCAACGTAAATGAAAAGATCTATTTAAACCTTTTAAGTAGTTCGAAAAAAACCTCTACAATCACACATAATCTTCTACACTCGTGCTTGTATCTGCTTACCTCTGTTTTAGACCGGAAGGGAGGCGGTGGAGGCGCTGGTTTGGTTTCCGCTTCCTGTCCAAACGGTGCAGCTAGCATAATGCCAGTACTAGTGAGGCACTTCCTCTCGCCATACGCGCTCTCAGAGCCTCGATGAACAAACTAGAAATAATCATCTTTTAAATTAAAGACAGGTAAATAACACATTTTTAAAATACCCTCATCCGTCCTCCTTTTTCCATTATACAATTATTAAAAGAACACATGTCTGGTAAAAAAAAGTTTGATTTGGAAAAGAAGATATACCGGTATATATATATATATATATGAATTATATATGAAATTGAAATCTAAACAACGAGCTTTTTGTGTTTATTTTGGTGTATGTGAAAATGTATTTATGATTAAATGTAAATCATTTCAGTTCATTCTTTCGCCAATTAAGAGGAAGCACATTAAATACGTACACAACGTTTCTTGAGAGCTGAAACATTATCTACTCATGGAAAAGTGAAAAATATGTGTGTGTATACATGTATTCAGACTTAATTTAAATGTTTTTGCTACAATCACTGTCAGTGAAAACGCTCTCTGGGTACATACTTAAACAAACCAGTAATATTGATCCTCATGTCGGGTAGTCGAAGATTGCATTAAATCCCCCGAAAAGTAACAATGGATCACTTTAAGATAGGATTTGCTGTACAACTTTTTAGGAATTAATTTTGCCATCGTGTACAGGAATTCAATTGATTTATTTTATATTCAGCACACACAAGGAAAGGACCATTTACGTTATAAATGTTAGATTCGGGACAAAGACTTTGTTTATTATACAATTCACAGGCCCGTAGGAAGCAATTTCAGTTGGGGGGGGGGGGGATAGGCATACATTTTTCAGTTGACAGTTGAGGGGGCACTACCAAAATTTCCTGACAAGCAGAAAAAAAGGCCATTAACTACAAAAAATCCTTGACAAGCAAAAAAAAACAAAACAAAACAAAACAAAGCAAAAAACAAAAAAGGTCATCAGACGTTTTTATTGAGGGGGCACAAGCATATAGTATCTATGTTTACTACAGTAATCTATATATCGGCAAAATTATTGGGGGGGGGGGGGGGTCCTACGGCCATGATTCTCGTACATGTATATGTAATTCGCTTATGTTTCTTGGCGAATTAAAACATCAATATCAAAACAATCATCTTGGTACTCTCTCTGCTGTGTTAAAGTTGATGTTTCAAAATCTATGAAAAGGGCTGTGTGAAAAAAGTAAAACGTTATGTAAATAAAAAAAATATGTGTTCTCCCTTTGAAATTGATTTCGCTTTTTGACAATATTTGAAGTACATATTACAACCGCGAGTTTTCAGTGGCCCTTGAGTAATAGGACATATTAAATGGAAATGTCTTATTGTACGGCCCGGTATAAATAAACACTTATCTCAGTTTTAAATTTTCGCAGGTAGTCTACCTCTTAAGGAGATTCAATTTCGCTGAAGCATCGAGCTAATCTCTTGATAATCCACCATTTATAGATAACGTTATAGGGGAATACTTGTCGAGACGATATAAAAGGGGGATTATCGTGTATTGTTGGTTACTGAACAACATGTTGAGCCTGCTCCGTAATAGATCTTAGAAAGATGGATGGTTAACTGCTTTATGACAACATCGATATCAATGCATTAATATGGCTTTTGATTCACACGGGCTAAATTAAAGGAAACCTTCGTAGAATGTTTTATTAAATTTGGCATTTTCAAATTTTGTAATTTCCTATTTTACTTTCTCCAGAGTAAAAAAGAAACGAAAATAACATTTGAATTCAATGCTCCGGTATAAAGTTTACATATTTTACATTAAACCATGTTTTCAATTTTCATTTTTTAAAAACCATTGGAGCTCACATTTACATAGGTCCATTAAAAGGCTTCAATGTATATTCAAAAGTTGAGCTAAATTTTAAATTGGACTTTAAAAGGCACATTGGATTTATTATTAAAGATTTTAACACCGTATTCAATATTAAACAGCAGTATAATTTTTGACGATTAAATTCATGAACTTAACCCTGCTGCGACAATTCAACGCTTTGGATAATATTCTGTAATTAATCACCAGATTAAAACATGAAATACCGTATCAGGCACGGGTCAGTGGATATGGCTAAGTATCAGAGCTATTTATAAGTGTATCGTTACTAAAACGATTGCGCGATGTTTAAGGGTTCTTTTGATGTCAACAAATATTATTTCACTTTATGTATTAGCATTTTTCATAAAGAGAATCAAACAAATTTTTGCTTGGGTAATGCATAAACGTTTTGATATGCTTAATAGCAATGCATAAATATAACAATAATAACATTATCAAACACAAAAGTACATGCTGAGTTGTTGTGTTAAATGTTTTGACGTATAATTGCATAGTAACATAAAGAATTGGATTAAATTTTTAAGACACAGATTAACTGAATTTAAAAACTTAATTCAGTTTTAAGATTTTACAAATTAAATGTTAAAATCTTAAAAACTAGACATTCAAGACTTTTTTCTTAGTATCAAAACATTTCCGTGGCATAACATCAATGCTTTAAGATCCTACTTACCCATTTTCCATCAGATGCAGGTGATGGCGCAAACTGTCTTCCTCTTGCCATTTGAGTATTTTTTTTCCAAAAATATTCTTATTTGAAACTACAAATGTATTTTTAAAATATATATTCACACAGTAAGGTTACATTTTCCTTCCTGATAAGAAAGCTACACTTAGGACTTTAAGTGAAATGCACTTTAAAAATGTTTTTAAGTTTTTAACAATTTAAAACCCACTGTCTCTTATCTTGCCATATTGCGATAATCGTGCTACGTCACAATTGGGAACTCTGTGTTACGCACTCACAAATAGTCCCATGGCAACTCAGGTCCGATGGGATAAAAACATCAAACAATGTAGAATTTTAATAAATTCCAATGATTTAACTTTACTATTACAAAATATATACTTTTCGAAGGTTAACTGTTGTAGTAAATAATATTTCCATTAGTACACTGTAAAAATGGTTGTTGTCAACGACGCTACCTTTCTAAAGGAGTTAACTCGTACATATCATTCATTATGATCCACGTAAAATATTAAGGTTGTCCATCTTTTTGTCGAATAACAAAACACGACCAGATTAATAAAATTAAATCAATACAACCACCATAAACCCCTTCAAAAGAACAGAACAAACAAAATAAACGTTACAACTCTACAGAAAGCACCATTTTTGAAGTTTTACACGTGCTTATTTTTTTTCAGCTCTTTTGACATTTACGTATCACTCCGGGAAAATAAAAACCATAATGGCTATGCCCTGAAGAAGTAGTTAAGAATTTAATACATAAGAATAATATTGTAACATATAATGGTTTGAGACAGTTGTTTATAGTTTATCTATTTTCTCCTAAATGCATCATATAAAATACCAAATAACTCCCGCCCCCCCCCCCCCCAAAAAAAAAAGAAAGGAGAACATCTAAAATTAAAAAAAAACAAAAAAAAAAAAAAACATGTGAAAACCAATCGTCAGATACCCACGGGTGATCTCGTCTTTTTATTTATCACCCGGGTGATAAGTAAAAAGACGAGATTACCGTGGGTATCCGACGATAGTAAAAAGCAGAGTTTTGTGGATCATTTATTCCTGTGAAGAAAAAAAAAACAAGATTGTAAATTTTTATAACGAAAGAAAGTTTTAAAAAAATGAAATGTAACAAAGTAGCAAAATTTCATTATATTCAGTTTGAAACTTTTTTTTTTTCACTTGAAAAATCTTTTCTGATATCTCACAATGATATCATTTCAAAATATAATGATATTTTGTCGCCAATTTGTCCATTTATTACATGATTCACATAATCTTTTATTTAGGCAAGTGACAGTTTTATATCCTATTTTTGAACAACTGCCAGACAACGATTAGTTGCACAAAATTTGATAAGTGTCTTTCTGTGTGTACGAGGTAATTAGTCAAATATTTTAACATAAGAATCGTAATCTTTTTGATGATATATTTAAATCGCTATACCATTTTTAATACATTCATCAACGAGATTTTGCTTTAATTTGTTTAATAGTGCAAGAATATGCATACATGAAACCCAAGAGTGGCGAATATAAAGGTACTGTTCATACAAACAATATCATTTCGATTGCTTCTTTATATATATTGTCTGTCTTAAGGGAAAGTGTATAAACCTGTATGCATGTAGTGGGAAAGTCCAGTTCCCCTTATACAAGTTATAACAGCGGCAAATGGGATCGATTCCTATGTTTGGTTTGAAAATTCAGTGATGGTTCATCGCTTGTATGATTTGTTTTTATCTCCTGGGCTGAGCAACCTAGAATTTTTTATGGCTAGAAAAAAAAGGTGAAAAACCCAATTCGGTGGGGAGGGGGGGGGGGGGTTCAACACTTCTCAAGGGCAAGCCACTTTTGTATAAGCTTGTCTTCTTTTTACAAGGAGTTGCCCAAAGTTTAATATTTTTGGTTAATTTTACTATATAAATTAACAATCCTGAATATTCCATTGGGTGGGGCGATCCACCCCGACACGCTACAAAAGATCATTCAGATGTGGTATTGTTCAATCTTTTAAACGTCTTCTTCAAAAAATTCCTCCATTTTTGTTTCATCATGCTATATAAAATGTTATATCAACTATATCGAGGAGAGGAAAAATATCAGTTTCACAATTACTGTACATTATCAGTTCATATCTGTGTGTGTATCAATCATGCCATGATTGTTGAATTAACTCACTCGTATATATAAAAGCTGGTGTATTGTTAAAAACTTGATATTAACACTTCTATCTAAAAGATTCAAATTTAGAAGAAAATCTACATGAATTACGAAAGCCTATTAGGATCAAACTACGCTAAAAAAAAATTAAAAGGCGTAATAACGCCTTTTGAAAAGGCGTTATAACGCGAAAAAAGGCGTAATAACGCGAAAAAAGGCGTAATAACGCCTTTTGAAAAGGCGTTATAACGCGGAAAAAGGCATAATAACGCAAATAAAGGCGTAATTACGCCTTTCCAAAAGGCGTTATAACGCGAAAAAAGGCGTTATTACGCCTTTCAAAAGGCGTTATTACGCCTTTCCAAAAAGCGTTATTACGCCTTTCCAAAAGGCGTTATTACGCCTTTCTAAAAGGCGTTATTACGCCTTTTAAAAAGGCGTTATTACGCCTTTCCAAAAGGCGTTATTACGCCTTTCCAAAAGGCGTTATTACGCCTTTCCAAAAGGCGTTATTACGCCTTTTAAAAAGGCGTTATTACGCCTTTCTAAAAGGCATTAATACGCCTTTCAAAAAGGCGTTATAATGCCTTTTGAAGGGCCATTATTATGTTTTGACAGGCCCGTGCTTTTAAAGTTGTGGGGGGGGGGGGGTCCCATAAAATTGACAAGCAAACAAAAAACAAGACACCCCCCCCCCGGAAAAAAATAAACTGCCTAAACTTGAGGGGAAACTTTTTCTAATTTTTCAGTAAAACTTTTTTTTAAATGCAATGACTTGCCCGAGTTTAACCATACTGCAACAAAATGTTAAGGGACCAAGCAATCAATTAATGATTTTTTATATTTAAACTATAGCAAGACTATTCTCCCAAAAAGTGGGGTGGGGGACCCCCCCCCCCCCCCACTCACATTCGTACTACCGGCCTGTTTGAAAAGGAGTTGTATCCAAAAATGGAAAGGCGTTATTTTAAAATAGTAAATATATGAAAGATTGAACCAAAGCCATCTTTATTTATGCAATATTTAGATTATAGTTTTAATATTATAAATTATATTATAAATTATAGTATTTTCTATATGCCTGCACATCTCGCAGACAGTTGTTTGCATTTTGCATGCATATTAAGAGAAGTCAACACTCTACTTTTGAAAATCCAGGATATAGGCAGTACCGCAGCTTTGGGCTTTGCTAGCCACGTATTAAAAATTCATATCAAATTTGAAATATTTTTCTCCCCTCTTGGTAAAAAACAGGCAAAGTATTTGCATAGGTATAATGAGCTATTAGCCTTCAACAAAATTTCTGAAATCCATACACCTTGGAAGAAGCGTCTGGCATCAGAGAAGGACTAAGTTGGTTTAACACTGAAAATATTTTACACATTTAAAAATCTTTTTTCCTAGAAATCTAATTATAATCAGCCCCCAGGGTGGGCTAAGTAAGTCATGTATTGAAAAAGAAAGAGGCGTAATAACGCCTTTTTAAAAGGCGTTATAACGCCTTTTGGAAAGGCGTAATAACGCCTTTTGGAAAGGCGTAATAACGCCTTTTAGAAAGGCGTAATAACGCCTTTTGGAAAGGCGTAATAACGCTTTTGGAAAGGCGTAATAACGCCTTTTGGAAAGGCGTTATAACGCCTTTTTTTCGCGTTATAACGCCTTTTGGAAAGGCGTAATTACGCCTTTATTTGCGTTATTACGCCTTTTTCCGCGTTATAACGCCTTTTCAAAAGGCGTTATTACGCCTTTTTTCGCGTTATAACGCCTTTTGAAAAGGCGTTATAACGCCTTTTAAATTTTTTTTTTACCGTAGTTTGATCCTAATAGGCTTTCGTAATGAATATATATATCTATGATTGGTAAAACAAACAATACTGAGTTGCAGTTTGATTTGTAGTTTATTGACTTAAATAAATGTGTAAATCAACGAATTGCAATTAATCAACATATTTACAGATGAGACATAAAAAGAATAATTATCAATTAAAAAATCCGGGATTTCCAAAGCTTTCCTCACTGAATGGAGCATCTAAAACAAAAGGAAAATCAAGGATTATTCATATTAAATACCATTTTTCTATTTGAATAAATTCAACAGTTATTTACAATTGTGATTTTTCATGCATTGTTTATCTTCTCTTTCATTTGATTCAGAGGAAAATGCAGATTCCTTAATTCAGTGCAATGAAAATGGTAAAGATAACGGTCAGTGATCAATCTAAAAACTAGATGTGTCGTTATCACCACGAATGTCCCCGCAAGCAGGTAAAATTTCAAATGCAATATTTAGTTTTAAATTTGTATTCAAACTTGAACTGTATTTTCTGGTAAAATACCTGAATTTGCAATTTCAACCTTTTACATATATCCCTACAAAAGTTAGAGAGGAGAATTTCTTATTTTTTCTAAGTTCCAGTGGGATAACTCTGTCAAAAATCATCGGACCACGACCAAATTCAAATTTGACCTCTATCTTCTGGTAAAATAAATGCATGTGCAATTTCAACCTTATACATACATCACTACAAAAGTTAGAGGGTGGAAATTGAAAAATTCTTAATTTTTTCTAAGTTCAAGAGGGATAACTCTGTCAAAAATCATCAGACCATGAACAAATTCGAACTTGACCTGTATTTTATGGTAAAATACCTGCATATGCAATTTCAACCTTTTACATACATACCTACAAAAGTTAGAAAGCGGAAACTGAAATTTTCTTATTTTTTCCTAGGTTCAAGAGGGATAACTCTGTCAAAAATCATCGGACCATAGCCAAATTCGAACTTGACCTGTATTTTATGGTAAAATACCTGCATATGCAATTTCAACCTTATACATACATACCTACAAAAGTTAGAAAGCGGAAACTGAAATTTTCTTATTTTTTCCTAGGTTCAAGAGGGATAACTCTGTCAAAAATCATCGGACCATAGCCAAATTCGAACTTGACCTGTATTTTCTAATATTTACATTTCCAATGTCTTTGTCCGAGATAAAACTACAAATAGTAAAAATACTTTATCTCTACATAAATCTACTGGTTCATCGATAGGCGTGGTTAAAAAGAATCACGTGCGGGGCGGGACAAATAGAGACAGAAGCGGGGCTTGTAGCACGTGAATTTGAGGAATCATAAGGAATAACTGTCGTATTTTTTGGTTTCATGACGATGATCAATCGATTGGCTTGCGTGATAATTTTATGCATAAACGCCTTCGGCGTTTATGCAAATTATCACGCAAGCCACTCGATTGATCACATCATGAGATCAAAAAATACGACAGTTATTCCTTAAATAAAATATTTTTTTAATGCAGTTCACCATTGATTATAGATACCTTGCCGCTTACTTCTTGGTATCCCGCGGGCACTTGCATCGCTCATTGACGGGAACGTCCTTCAGAGCACTCTCTATGTGGTTCCCGCAACCTACAAAACATAGGTAATCAGAGATTACAGAGCTCACCTCAACGATTGTTGTCTTTGAGTAAGGCGAAGTCCCAAACTAATAATCTAGTAGTGTGCATCCCTAGATGTAACATTTATGCAATTTTGGTCCGATAGGGCTTGCAGTTACTTGGGAATGGACTTAGCAAAAAACTTTAAACTAGTCACTCATCCAGAAAATATGTCATATCCAGCATCTGAAACAAGTTTGAGAGTGTTCATCCCATGATGCATCATCCATGCAAGTTTGGTTCAGATAGCCCTTATAGTTTACTTTAACCTGGTCACTCATCTGGAAAATGTAGGTTAGATCAGCATCCGAAGCAAGCCTGGTAGTGAGCATCTTTTGATGTATCATCCATGCAAGTTTGGTCAACATAGGGCTTAAAGATACTTGGAAATGAGACCTGCTCCAAAAACTTTAACCTGGTCACCCATCCGGAAAACGTACGTCAGATCCAGCATCCGAAGCAAGTCCAGTAGTGTGCATCCTTAGATGTATCATCCATGCAAGTTTGGTCAACATAGGGCTTATAGTAACTTGGAAATGGACCTGCTCCAAAAACTTTAACCTGCTCCAACCTGGTCATTCTTCAGCTGAAATTGCAGCATCTGAAACCTTGACAATGAAACATACTAGAAGCATTCTCCATGCATCTCTGATTAATATAGGGTATAGAAGTACTTGAAACGAAATCTGCTCCAAAAACTTTAACCTGGGACGCCGACACCGACGGTATTACAAAAGCTCCCTCAACTTCGTTGAGGTGAGCTAAAAATGTGCAGTCTATTTGCTCATCTTCAGAAAATTCCAATTTTAAAACTTTCTCCATTCTTGCTGTTAAGCCTTCAAAAACAGGGGGAATATGATTAATATTTTCATGCAAGCCCAAAATCTTTGATCTTGCAATTTATTTTTAAAAAATACATGCATCCGTTGGGTTGGGTGTAAAATACAGGCTCGTAGCAACGGTTTCAAAAGTGGGGGGGGGGGGGCCTCCCAAAATTTCTGACAAGGGGAAAAAACCTAAACTGTCCAAAAAGTGCATGGGACCCCCCCCCCCCCCCCCCAGCCGGAACACCATCTTAATTACAACAACAAAAAGTTGGGGTTGCGGATACACCAGTATCTAAATGAAAATTTACTATAGCAAAATACTATACTCATATACTATGTATCTAAGTATGTATATACAACATTTAAGATCCTAGTGTTAAATTAAAAAAGTATCTTGCTTCAAAAAGAATTAGAAATAAGTCAATAGGTCAGATGTGCCCTGCCCAAAAGAAATGTATAAAACGTCAACCTTCATTTGTACATAATTTCAGCCTATCTTGCAAAATTTGACAGAAATGACATTTTCACTTGACAATGGTCATAATCTCATTCAGTGAGAGTTATCTCTCTCATCAAAGGGTCAGTGAACCTTAAAAACTATAAGTTAAACCATAAATGTAAAATATTTAAGTTGTGGTCTTTTATACTTCAACAGTGAAACTTAAATCATAAGGAAGGTCAGGGTAAGAAAGTTATGACACAGTTGAATAGTTCTTACCAATAATGAATTAAGATGCATAAGTGTCTGGATATTTATAAAAAAAAATATCTCGAACAGTTTCTAAGAAACTGAGTCAATCCAAATTGTCACGGACAGACAGACGGAAGGACCGAAGACAAACATGGCAAACACTATCATCGTCGCCAGCCACGGGTTAGGTGTCTATTCTCTTTCTACAAACATGATTTTGTGGAATTAAAAATGACACAAAACCCTTGGCTTGCGACGATGAAACACTATACATGTATATGCCTGGGCAATATTAATGACGGGATCCAAGAAAAAGACGCACAGAACGGGGGAAAATGCAGATTTAAAAAAAAAAGGATAATATTCCTGAATCCATGACACATTATCATTATTTATAGGAATATGAAAGCACCATTAATCATCCAAATTGTTATGCAGAATGCTACACCTGGGACATCAAGAGCACTTTTGTTGAATTTTAACCATGGCTCATTTAACTTGGATTTGATAAAACATTATGGGGGAAATGTTTACACCTTGTGCAGGCAAAATATGGAACCTAAATAACAAAATTATTAGTTCACATTATACTACCCCCGATATTCCTAGGTTTTGGTGTTAGTATAAAGTTCTAATAAAAAGCTTCTTCTTGTAGGGCTAAGGAAAATAATTCAGTTCACCAAAATCCATAAAATCAATGTATGCAAGATCATTGTTTTTGATCGATTGATTATTTAATTGTTATACGTTCAATGCGAGAATTTTTCACTCATATGTACCGGTAAAGGACTTCAAATTTAGTTCTTTAATCGGCACTAAAGGCCGTTGTTTTTTACCGATGACCGGGGTATCATGTTTTGTCCTGTCTGTCCTTTGCTTTGCTTTAAATTTTGAAACGCAGTTGGTTAAGTTAGTAAACTCCTCAAATATGACATGCACATTCGACTATATTTATACACAAGTAGCAATGTCCTTTCAAATATACTCCGATCAAAGACCCTGTGTTCATCTGTTTGTATAACTTGCGGATACGGATCACACAACATACATGTATATAAATAAACTTAAACGGCATTCGTCCTGGATAGAACATGATGGATTGGCTACATCGACATCATAATTATTATTAACAAACATCTACTAAAATATCGTATAATCACAAAAAAATGTCCAAGATCGAGGCAAGAGCTATACATTATTTATATTATTTATTTCACAACCTTGCTTCATCAATATACATGACTGTATAAGGGACATTGCATGTGTTCAACAAACAATTCTGAATGCATATGTGAAAACTGGGTGAATGTCAAGAAATTTTTAAATATGTCCAGTCAAAGGTCACCCGAATCAGGTTTCTGGAAAGTATACTCCTGGGATCCTGGGAGGGGAATGTCCTCGCTAATCCTGACATTTTCTCTGAACCCCCCCCCCCCCCCGTCTCTCTCTCTCTCTCCAAAACGGTTCGTGTTTGCCAAAAAAGCAAACACTTGCTTGATAATTATCACATCCAATCACAAAACATGCGAGATTCCTTTTCCTCATTTTAATGATTTTTGTTTCTCTCCTTTCCCAGTGACTGTTTTAAAAACGTTTTAGAAACCTCGCAAAAATTATTATTATTTTTGTTTTAGATGAATAAGTGAGTGCTACGTAAAAATTTACAAATCTAATATTCAAACGAATTTGACACATTTGGTAATAGTCGATTTTAATTAAGTGCACAATTTAATACGTGATTTAAACATATTTTATTAACACAATCAATTGGATCAGACACATGTTTTTTTCAGTTTAGATTGTCCTCTCCAATTCTAAGAAAATGAACATTAAATACACGTGATGAACAAACAAACAAATGTACATAAATACATTTAAAGTGCAAGGAATAAAAGGGAAGGAAAGAAAGTGAGAGAGTGCAGAGAGAAAGGTCGGTGGATGGTTGTAGAATATAGGAATGGTTACACTGAATATCAAAAATTTTGCGTGTTTTATGTACTTACGTGCAGCTTTAACAACGTTATTTTGGTGGCCGACATTTGGGTCCTCAAATAAGATTGTTTCAATTTCTTTATCAATTCTTATGGTTGGAAAGAATTTTCAATTTATGGTGTGAAATAAATCTGATCTTCATTCAATATAATTTTTACAATGCAGAAATTAATACATTTTCATTAATTAACCCACAGTATCTGAAAGATATCGGATTTTAGGAGACTACATTGTCTCTCATTCTAGTAAAAGTGAATTCATCTTTCTATCACCTTAGAAAAAAAAATATTTTGGAGGAGACTCAATAAAACACGTTCGTGAAAAGAAATAGTTTCTTTTACTCATATTCTATTTTTACCTTCTTGTAAGTTTACTTTAAAATAAATTGCTTGTCATCGTTTTGAAACTCGAAGAAGTGACCTATACCTTATAGTTAATGTTCGTCATACTAAGTGAGTATGGCTGAATTAATTCTATATTTTAACGCGAAAGGGGGGGGCAAAGATGCTGAAAGCAACGTCCTTGATTTTAATACTTCACGGTTGATCTAGCGCTTTTATCTCTTGAATTAAAATAAAAATTAATGCATTGTATTAAATTTTTTCTTTCTTTACCTGCCCAAGTTGATTTTCCACACCCTCCACATTTTGTTTTAAAACACATGACGATGAATCAGCGATCAACTCTATACGGATGTCGATATTCTAATGAATGATCTCTCTCCAAATGATCGAAGTCTTAATCCAAACTATACTCTAATTAGTGGTCACAACTAATCATTACATCACTACTCAAACACAATGTTTATACCCCTCAGCTGTTCAGTCGAGTGTCAGTCAACCTTGTTATATTTATCTCGATACTCGGAAACAAACGTGACAAGTAGTTTTACAAGAATGCTCTCAATAACCTTGAACTCGATTCAGGAATAAAGAACAATTAACTTTGTCAATCAATACAGTTCATAATCGCTCGAGCAGAAATATTTATTGGAATCAATTACAAAATTATTTTTGCATCATCATATACAATGCAATTGTCACGTTTCATAATTTAACATGCAAGTATGATGAGACGCTAAATTTAAATTTTCAATACTTTCGGTTCCCTTATAGATAACAATTCAAACAATCTTGAAGAAATGTTAGGCTTTATAAATAAAAACAGTGAATCATAAACTAGGTATTGCTGCGTCATGTTGTAAGATGGAAGTTTATACCATCCGTTTTTTTTCAGTTTCAAAGGGATTTTCAGAGTTATAAAATTTCTATGTAAAGTAATGAAAAAACTACCTTGTACCCCCTCTAGAAAACAAGGACCCTGTGCAAATTGATAAGGAAAGTCATGTACTAGTATCTGAAGAAAAAATACTTTAAAAAGACCCCCATCCCACTTCACTCCACCCACGAAATCGGTTTTCAGGTTGGTTCACTTTTTTTTCTCTTATATTTCTTCTTCTCCAGAACTACTAGACTGATTTCAACCAACCTTGGCATAGAGACTCCTTGGGACAAGGAATTTATTGTTCTTTTTAATGAAAGGCCATCCCTCCTTCCAAGGGAAGACGATTTTTTTTTTTTTAAAAATGACAAAAATAGCGTGGAACTAGATCTATTAAAAGATCTTCTCAAAAACCAATGGACCAGAAAAGATTAAACTTATTTGAAAGCTCTCTGTTATAGTGTAAATTCATTTTTTTTTCCAGAACATTCTTCCGGACTCGCAATGAGGTTCAAAGTTTTGTAGTAAAAATATATAAGATTTTTTAAATAACAGCAGGGGCACCGTCAGTCAGTCAAATTAATTCCCGGTATGCAAGCATCACTGTAAGAACTTACGACTAAGACCAAAAACCTTAGTTGATTGTAAGATTTTGCAGAATTAATGATTCTGTTGAAAATTTCTAACGTATAAATATCTCTCTTTATTCCTTTAAAAAAGAACAAAATCATTTTCAATTTAATGTAAATTAGAACGTAATAAGCAGTAAAAAAAAAATTGGTCTTAGTCGTAAGTTCTTTTGTAAAACGGGCCCCAGGACCTTATGGACAGGATGGGGCTACGATAGGATATTGAAGTTTTATGTGGGAATAGAAGGGGAAATCTTCGATCTTTTCAAGAACAACAGAACCATGAATAGTGATATAGTTTAAGGAGGTTTTATACACTGCACATAGAAGAGTTCTAATTTCAAGATGGTTTTATGCAGTTAAAGTGATCTGCCCTTTGATGTAAAGATGGAATAAAAAATGGAGAATATTATATACTAAAATCCATATCATATGTCATATCAGCCCGAGTGGCCCCATATCAGCCCGAGGGCTGATATGACATATGATACGGATTTTAGTATGTTGTATTCTAATTATCATATATTTAAAATACTTAAGGTCAAGATCTAGTAAATGAAAGGTGCCTTCAGATTTCTCAAATATGAGAAACAAGTTCTTTCAATGATCCTTTACAAATATAGCTTGGCGAAATTAGGTGTATCGGGGCATAATACACGAAGTGTGTGTATTTTTACTATAACGTACGAGGCCATTCTCTAAACGTAAGAAAAGGTACAATCTGCTTGCATAGAACGACATATGGATGTGATTGATGGGGAAATTTCATATTTTTGAGAAATTATAAGTTATTACATTTTTTTTATATTAAAAATGGGGGGTGGGGGGGGGGTATTGATCCACACTTCAGGCGCCTGTGTTTTTAACTGTAGGAGGGCTTTATACTACATCAAAACTTACTTTGGTATGTAGATGGTATGCACTAGTCAATGTAACGTTACATCGTATTTGACGCAGTTTGTACTCATGCAGTGAGAGGCATATCTAGTAATATTTTTCGCAATGAGAAATGTATTTTTTTGATAACATGATATGTATTATTGATTTTGTGTATATTTAAAGTCCATTTTTATGTCTGTTTTATGGTTTTATTCCGTCCCTACTCAGGGGATACTGCCGTATACATGTACATACATTGGAGGAAAATAGAAGGGTCTTAATAAATCGACATATTGCAAGGGCATGCCCTCAATGGAATATCATATTAAGCTTTAATTAACAAATAAACTCAAGAAGTATTTAGATATTTGAAAAGTGTTACGATCCTAATGAAATCTTGCAACTGAATTAATTATTTCTATTAAGGTATGTCACTCGTCAGCCTTTTAGAAAAGTTCAGTCAGAACCTCTTACTTAAAAATTATTTATTACAATTCAATCTTTATAACATATTTAAATTAAACACTGTAAAATATTCAACATTCAATTAAAAAAATCCTAAATAATTCATAAAGAAGCAAGATTTATAAGGGACTATTTCTTGTGGTGGAAGGATATTTAGCAGAAAATTCTGCAAATCTACACATTTATTGAATTTAATATCTTGGAACTTCAGCCTCACATACTTTTACTCAGAGAATATTTTCCATTATGATATGCCTGGAATATTAAATATAGGTCTCAATTTATATTTTTATAACAAAATTTACACCTTCGCTCAACAAACTTTGCCAAGAAATGAAGATATATTAAAGAAGTCAAGAAAAAATTACACAGTTTTTTGCCAGAAAATTGCATATTTTGACCAATATTTCAAAATTTACATCACTGACCCTAACTTTTTCTTTCATTATTTTAAACTACTCGATACTACTGACCGATCAGCACTTAAGTCGTAAAAAGTTTGATACAAGAAAATATTCTGTTGCCTATTTAGATTTTTGATACCCCAAATATGAGAATTTTTAAGTGCAAAAAGGTCACACGATAATTTTGCGCATTTATTTGCATGATTTGTTCAATGATAAGTATTATTCAAACTATTTCACGTAAAATAAGATTATGTTTATTGCCATGGTTACATCTGATAAAATGTGAAAACGGTTAAAGTGATTAACCAAAGAGTTACAATTTAAGTGCAAAAAGGTCAACTTAATTGTACCGTAGCTCAGTTAGATGCACACTGACCCCCCATTTTCTCTGCGATTTTGAGTCATACTATACGAGTACTTATCCAAAACATACTTCTCAAAAAATCCTTGATATAACAAATTTCACGAGTGACATACCTTAATAATGAATTATGACAAATATAATTTTACAATTATACAAAGGGTGTTGAAAATACTTATAACTTGAATTTTTACTTGATTGTGCCCTTGCAATTTGGAATTAATTGCTACTAAACATCATGTGACAAATCTTTCGTTTCTCAATATGTATAATAGTTTTTAACCATATTACATTTGTCCGATATTACTAAAGTACTAATTTAAAAGCAATCGCTTATCCTGATAACGAAAGCATTTTTTAATCTCAGAAAATATTTTCATTGCGCAATTTAACTGTATACTGCGTTCTTTTCAAGCAGGTCATGATTAGTCAAGTGCAAAAGTGCAGATCGGCCCTGGAAGGTATGGTTCAGCAACAATAGGAATCAATATTTCATGGAAGAGATGTGCAAAAAATCCATAAAATTCAAAAACTGCTGAACCACGATGAAAATCACATTATTTTGCAAATATCCCCAAATATTGCAAAATCATATTTACTGTGAAATCACTTTTTTTCGTTGAGATTTATTTTTTTCTTGTTTTCGTGATATGAAGAAACCAACGAATTCGAGTCCTCCACGAAATGTTAAAATTCATAAATATAACAATTCTGCACTTCTTCAAACACGAAATTAAATTCCGGCGAACCGATAATTTTTTCCTCAATCCACGAAAATAAGTGATTTTACACTATTCATGTCCCTGATGAGGGATACGTTGGGGTCATAATAAGGTATAAAGTACCAGTATTTACAAATATTTACATTTGCAAATGTTTTCCTTTATATAACACTATTGAAAGCAATGTGTATTTATTTAAGGAATGAAGCTTATTTTAACTATGTTATATGATATAACATAACTTGGGTCAGTTTACGCTTTATATACCGCGAAGCGGTTTATAAAAAATCGTATACTGCCCCAAGTTATGTTATATCGTATAACATAGGTTTTAATAAGCTTCATTCCTTATAATTTAATTTCAATGTAGACAATAAGACAATTTTTCCTCCAAAAATGGCTTCTTATTGAGCATATTTTAAAGGTAACGTCAAGCGGAGTAATACTTTTTTGACGTAATTCATTGTGACGTAGGCAACTTATGTTATACGATATAAAAGAAACCTTTTATCCAATCAAATGACGTGTTACAACTAAAATTAAATTATATCCGTATAAACACGGGTTCCTTACGTCATAAACGTTCGACATAATTTCTCAGTGACGTCATAAAGGGTCGACGCTCAGGACACATCCATGGTTACATGACTCTGTTTAACTACATCTCCATTTATATAAGTGCAAAACGTGTAAAGCATCAGTTCTTGTATAAATTTTTGCCTGGCTGATGACGGAAATCTACGAAAGCCGGATAGGCTCATTTTTGACAAGATAAAAAAATAATTAACTCGTTATCACGAGATAGTTATCTCGTTATAACGAGTTAGTATCTCGTTATAACGAGTTAGTTATCTCGTTATAACGAGTTAATATCTCGTTATAACGAGTTAGTTATTTCGTTATAACGAGTTAGTATCTCGTTATAACGAGATAATTATCGCGTTATAACGAGTTAGTATCTCGTTAAAACGAGTTAGTTATCTCGTTATAACGAGTTAGTATCTCGTTAAAACGAGTTAGTTATCTCGTTATAACGAGTTAGTATCTCGTTATAAC